CTCAGTTCATCACTTGCACTCAAACATGAAGTGGGGAAAAGTGAAGCCCCACACAGGATCATTCTCGTTTCCCCAGAGGAAACTCAGCACTCTTCACTGTGTATGAATGTACATCAAATGTTCTTCAAATGACACCACAAGTCCCCTCAGTGGCTTATTTCCGTGATGAACTAATAATGAGGAGGTGCTTGGAGACATCCAGAAAGAGTGCAATCGAGCACATTACCCGATTCATAAATTATTATGTCAATAAGAAAGAACATTTAGTAACATTACCAGAGATGAGGAAATAAAGACATGCCTTAAACTTTTGTAGGATGCGTTTACAATGTGTTCCAAGAAGTACCTGAACCTGAATCGGGTTTATATGCACTTCCATCCACGAGTCAATATTTATTTTATTTTTCAGATGCAGGTGTGCTATAAAGGCTTTCCTTAGTCATTCATTAAGGCGTTATTCATCCGCAACGGAAGAAAGAATGTACAGTCGGGTTCTTGGGAGAAATTAGGCAAAAATCAGTTAAATGAGAAAAAAATTAAGTCAACCAGCACATTGACTTAGCTGAAAATCATTTTTTTTTTAAATTGTTACATGTCTCGCACATTATCCCACAAGTTTAGCCTGAAAGTTTCGGTTAATAAGCAGACAGGATTTTTTCTATTTTGACAACAAGATGTGTGTTCACCATAAAACAGTTCAAATATTTTCAGTAGTTTCCTCCTTTCACCATACAGACACTACACTCTTAGAAAATTCCGAGCGTTTGGGGAGTAAAAAGTGAGCACACCGTGAGCTTTTCGAATTTACTCTCTTATTACTCACCAAATGCTCCCTCATCGCTCGCATTGAAGTGAACACCTTGAAGTTCTTCACCGGGCTCTAGATGGAGATAAGGGGCTCGCTTTTCGCACAGTACACAAAAGTTCCCTTCCCTCTTTCCCTGGAATCGTCCCTCGCAGGATTGTTTAGTACCTTGCCATATGTCTCGCCTAGTCTCATTATAGGAATCAATAAACACGACACTTCATCATTTGTTATCCACATATTCAAGACATATTCATAGAGACCATGCCATAAACAAGCTCATATTCCTATTGAGAACCCCCTTGGAAGGCGGGTGATTTTATCCGCATAGGAAGTTTAGAATGCGTAGAGAATGCCCGTGAACTTCATTCCCCCATACCCCAATAAAATGAGGTGATAAGGACTGATATCCCGGACTACTCCACGGAACCAATAAGAGGTAGTCCACCCTCTGACTTGTGATGTAATCAGTACAGTCAGAGGTAGGTCAACGCATGTACGAGAGAGATAGCGACACACAGTATAAGGAATTTGCACGACACTTCTTGCACTGACCTATCACTTTCTGATGGAAGCATTTTTACTCACGGAGGAGGAGAGCAATTTTACTCCATGATGGAGTAAATTTGTTCCTTTCCCAGAGTGAAAGGGGGTGAAACTGGAGTTAGCTATTTACTCTCTTTTTTGAGAAAAATCGCTCCCCTTTTTCTAAGAGTGTACGAACTAAGAACAAACCATATCGAACGTAGGAACACCTCTCTCGAAATTAGATGCACTACACCTCATTCACAAATCTCTTCTCTATTTGACTCCAAAGGTGTGAATACCATGATTTTGCACCCTGTTCATCTCTCAAGAATCCAAGAATCGATGCTGAACTAAAAAGGAACATGGCATCGCTAATGAGTGCCTGCGATAGATATTCACATACCCTGTAAAGAAAATAACTCGAACATAAGCACATTACGTTAGGCCTTGGCTTAACCTGAAAACAGTTTGTTGATAAGACCTAGGCCTAACCTTAGCGAGTCCCATAGAGAAGGGTGGGGTGGGGTTGATGAAAGGGGAAGCTATTTTGAAATTTGGTTTTTATATTACTTCATATTGCGAATTGTCTTATCAAAACCTCATAATGGCTTGGAAATGCTGTTAAAACATCACAAAATGCGTAAATTCTTGAAATGATCTTACTGTAATTGTTTAGCAGTGAAGAGCTCCCTTCAAATTCATTACTTTCCTTCTGACAGAACAAAAACCAGGGGATGAAGTGAGTGAATAGGTAGAAATTCACCAACACTGGAAGCTCTTAGCAACCAACATACGTATTCCCTCTGATTGAAGGAAGCACGAACTGCCTGGAACCATGGACCCTGAAAAGCAACCTAACGAAATCCATGCTCCACAACCGATGAACCAGCAGGCAGGTTCCATACAGTCTTCAGTTTTTGTAGTGACAGAATCCCCTAATTTCCATAATTTACGAATTTTCATGAGCGACTAGAAAGAAACACTGCAGGCAAGTGTTACTCCTAATTCATTTGGCAATTCCAGGCCCAGCTACGAAAATTTCGACAATTAGGACTTACAAACTTCCCAGGTTACTCATATTAAAAATTCCTGTTACCCGAAATTCATTTTCAGTAGTCGCAAGGAAACTGTAATTCTTTATTTTTAATCCCAAGGAAATAAAATATTGGCATACTGGAATAGTTTCCCTCGGCCCATGCAAAGCTATTAATGGGAACTGGCTCATATCATAAACTGGATAATTTCATGGCAAATCAGGGTTGCACATGGAGTCAAACAGCACAAAGTTCCTGGAAATCCTTTTGTTGGTAGCGAAGCGAACCTCATTCAGCAGTAGTGAATAGAATGTAATCATATGAGATGTTTCTTAACATCCTGTGTATATCCCATGCCTTGGTCAGTCCTCAGTCTGTACAAAGAAACACTCCTTAATAATAAGAAATGTATAGCTTGCAGAAACGCCCGTTTCTTGAATCCACAGGGTGCTGCTTCAGGCGGTGGTTTCACGCTGCAGCAAATGGAAGACGCTCAAAAAATGGAACCATCTCGATATGCACGATGGTCAGAGGACACCAGCTTTTATGCACAGAATTACCATGGCGGTATGTGGCAACAGCCTCCGCTGCATCAGATGGCTCCTCATTATATTCATCAACAACCAACCTGCATGCTGCCAGAGTGTCATGTTCCTCCCTTTTCATGTTCCTCACTATGTCATCCAGGGGGAAATCCCTGTCAAATGATTAACCCACACGAATTACAATACAGACACGTACAACTTCATTCGCATCAATACTGCCAGCATCACTCTTCGCGGCCAAGAAACTTGCCACCAGTACCAGCAAAAACATTCGGACCGAACATCGAACATAACCCCACGGCGAGGAGACGAGAAGCGGAACAGCACGAGTTGCGGCAGGGCTTCCAGGAAGCGGCACGCCACGCTCACCCTCCGGGTTCTACGAGCGCGGGTCCTCCCTATGAGCAAGTACCTCGATCGCACCTTAAGAATTTTCCCTCACAATATAGCACGGAGTCGACACCGAACGTCGGTTTCAGACAGGAGGATTGTTGTCAGATGGGGGATTGCCAACGATTGCCGATTCAAAACCTGACAATATCTCACCCTGGCTCTCAATATTCGAGCAAAATCCCAATTCATCATTATCAAGAAGCACATAGTCAAAGTCATGCCCATCAACACGTACGTCCTGATGCGAACATCAGGTATAGGTAAGGCAAACAATTTCCGCAATTGAGGACTCATCTCGATATGTTGTCGAATTGCCTTCATCTTGAACGTTCTCCTCTGGGCAGAAATCAGCACCATCAGCCTACAAAATCCCCGTTTGGGGATGAACATCAATCTGCGAACTTCCCAATGGTGGTTATTTTTTATGTTTTGATTTTAAAACAGTAGCTCAGTTATTCAAAGTATGCAACTACAGAACAATTGCAAGGTCACCACTTTTCAATTACATCACATAACTTAAAGTTAACCATTACTTATGGATTAGAAAACAAAACTTATGTCATTTGTCACTGAATATTTCTTCTGTAATTCTATGTTTTATTTCAGTCTATTTCATGCTTACACTTTCTATCCCCCGCTCTTTGTCACGCAGTGTTGTTTCCTCGACTGGTCCGTCTCGCTTAGAAAATGAGATGGGAGACCGTGCTCCTCCACACGGGAGCACTATTTAGGGAAAGATTTCACTTTGTTTTCGGCTTGTGGATATGGCATTTGCATTCCCAAAGTGAATATACGTATAAGGTTGAAAAAGTTTCCGGATGGGGAGGACTGTGTCGAAACTAGGCGTCACAGAACATATCGCCGGAAGATATGTAGAGTTTCATATCTACTTAAGCTCTTCCTGCATGCGAAGTCTCTGGAACGCTCCTGAAGGCTGCTAGAGCCCACCGCGTACACAGTATCCCGTCTCATTTGTCACTTTGATGTCTGGCATCGATCATGTCACGTTTTCAGTAGTTTGCGATTGTCAAATATTGCCAAAAATTAAGAAAAACTTCTAAAGGGACCCTCATACCATGGAAGACGTACAGGAACTAAGTGACGTCGAGGTCCCAGGTGTTCGAGTGGTACCGGCGTTTCGAGGAGGGGCAGGATTTGATGTGATGATCTGATGATGAAATGGTGAGATCTCATCCCGGCCAGGAAATCATCCTTCCATCGGCGGATGAAAGGGGACTATAAGTGTATTACGCGGGGACGTTTTACACGTCCCTGCTGAGAAGTCCGTATCGGGGAGTGCGTAGAATGCATCTCTCCCTTTGTAATGTTATAGATTACAGGGAAAGGAAAAATTTATTCATGCTGTTCAGTGCTTCCCATCTATATATCCACGGTGGCCCAAAAAAAGCACTCTTTTCAACTAGCATTTTAGTTGTGATGATGTCAAGGATATTTTTTCTGGTTACATGTCATGGAAAGAAGAAAGACTCAGCTGCGAAATGCTTTTTTTCAGATTTTAAATATCTTAATGGATGACTTAGAAAAAAAATTATTGCGTTTCGGTTACGAAAAATCGCCGTTGCGATCACTAACTTGACCCAACATCCACTCGACGTCCTGACATTTATCAAAAGGGGAGAGGAAACGCTGACATCAGCAGACGTCACGAGAATGATTGGATGTGCCTGCCGCAGTATGCGGTCGGTGAGCGCAACGCCGATTTCTCGTAACCGAAATACAGTAATTTCTTTCTAAGTCATCCTTTAAGATATTTAAAGTCTGAAAAAGCATTTTGTAGCTGGGTCTTTCTTTTTTCCATTACATGTAGCCAGAAAAAATATCCTTGACAGCATCACACCTAAAATGCTCGTTGAAAAGAGTGCCCTTTTTGGGCCACCCAGTATATATAGATGGGAAGCACCGTGAACAACATGAATACATTTTTAAGGATCTGCGTTTTGCTGCTGCAACTGCAATGCAGTTCAAGCAATGAGAATGGGAAGGAAAACATCATTCTCGCCCCGGCAACATCAGCGATGAGGGTGTCCTTGGAAAGACACATTTCAAGTGCTAATAAAATGTACTCCCAGATAACGTGTTATCTACGTGCAGTAGTCGATAATCGAAATGTACATCCTGAACAAGACTTAGTTACATGTAACCACCGTTATTTGAACTCCACTACCCCTTACAGTTGCAAATATACAACCCGCTTTCTAAGTCTGAGGATAATAAGTTGAATTTTTACTCATCTGTTTGAATCAATTCTCATAAAATTAGGAACATACCTTCTCGCCTCTTTCCAAATGCAGTATGTAAAAAAAAATGAGGAAGAAATCGGACATGAAGATCGGGAGCCCCAGACATTCAAGTCTCCAGAAGGAGGTAAGAAGTTAAATATTCCCATGAATCAGTTGCAGATTCAGACGATGAATAAATTAATAATGGATCACTGCTGAGTAATTGGCGAATGAAACGTATCCTGAAACTTCACAATTGTATTGTTTTTCTTTGAGAAAGGGTTTATTTTTTAATATGTAGATGCATTTATTACTTTTAAATTATTACTTTTAACTGGAAAGAAGTGATGGAAAAAAGTGTTTTACACTTCAATGACTGTATGACGCTTCCGGAATGTCTGTGATTTACGCAAATGCGCAAGGATGGCAAAATTTCACATGTGAGTGGCTGGAGTTTATAAACAGACACTGCTTGACGAAAATGTTTGCACTTTCGTGACAGCCTATAGGATTATCCTCTTTATTTTCCATGTACATAAAGTCCTTCTACGGGGAAGTTGTTATTGCTATTGCTCAGAAAGTGATGGAGGAATAGGCCTACCTTATCGAAATCCCTCTAAAATATCAGGAATTTCAGCCTCAAAAGTCAAATTTTCAACCTTAGTATGAGTCTTACACATTCCCATGATCTCTAAAATGTGTTTTTTTATTATTGATGAAACGAGTTCCTTCAAACCAAAGGAGAAAACGCTTCATTTAAAAGTTTGGATTATGGAAAACGATTGTTTATATTAATGTTTCATGGACGCAGAGAAAATGTTCCTTAATTTTAGTTGGTTAGTTGTTATGTTGTTACACTGGGAAAATCTTGGGTTCCAGCAATTACTGTAGCTGGTATTACATTTCTCTGCTGGAGAAATTGATTCCAGTGCATCCTCCCTGCTGAGTAAAATTTTCTACACTTGCATAACGTTCTGTGTCAAACTTGGATCATCTACTGCCCAGCATTTCCCCAACGGCGTGCTTGAGACATGGTTAACAACATCTTCTGTCCTGGCAGGACTCAGGAGTCCCGCATTTTTTCACTAAATACGTAGGGGTATATGGAAATGCACAACTTTTTTTAGAATTCATATTTTTGTGGCTATGTTTCATTGTGGACAATTGACTCAGGAAAATTTATTCTTATATCATGGATTTTTACATATATGTATTAACGTGTCGAACAGCCTCATCAAGAACATGTAAGAGACCAGGCATTATTGGGCATAACGAACATGCGTTTGAATATTTTTGCAGAACAAGGGCGAAAAAACCCTGGCTGAAATAATGAAGAAGGAGGCAATTTGTCGAACAGCCTCATCAAGAACATATAAGAGACCAGGCATTATTGGGCATAACGAACATGCGTTTGAATATTTTTGCAGAACAAGGGCGAAAAAACCCTGGCTGAAATAATGAAGAATGAGGCAATTCTCCACAAAAGAGGCAAAGAGAGTAAACCGAGTGTGTACTTGCTACGAAATTATCCTGTACTCCACAATAGCACCCTGGGTGTAGCCAAGTACTGTATAGGGCCTGAACACCTTCGGAACAAATATGACGAAAAGGTGCTTTTGGTTGTTGGGGAGACTGGAGCAGGTATGAAACATCCAAGTTCATTGCGGAAATTTTAGTAAAATATTTTTAGGGTAATATATTGTGGGTGTATTTCGGTTTAATCTACGTTTCATTTCAGGAAAGACAACGATGATAAACGGGCTGGTCAACTATGTCTATGGGGTCCGCTGGGAGGATGATTTTCGGTTCAAGGTCGTCAGAGAAGCGGGAGACGTTAATAGGGAGGACGGAATCCACAGTCAGACGAAATGGGTGTCTGCTTATTCCTTCCTCTGGCAGGAGGGCATGAGAATCCCATACACTCTCACCGTTATCGACACGCCTGGACTGGGGGACACGGAGGGTTTGCAGAAAGACGAGGAACTTGTGGTCAAGGTAAACCTCTCCTTTCAGCAGAAAACTGTGTAGTACACTGCAGACATGAGTTTAAAGCGATAGCTTCGTTACTCATTACGATTTCAATTAGAGTCATCGGCGCTGAATTTCGAATCCAATTACGAATAACTATTAGTCTCCCGAGAAAGTTTATAATTGACATTATGATCAATGAAGAAGTTCCCGATCACGATGGTAGACACAATAATTACAACCTTCACTTGACAACTATAATCACGACTGGAGAACATTTTCATTTTCCAAGGAAGCTGAAAAAAAGAAAAATCCTGAAAGTTTCTGAGCACAAAGGGCATTGCCCCAAGGCTTCACGCGAGCTATCTCTCAAACCGAGATCCTCACTGCTACTCCTTGAGAAATTGGCTATCTTTTGTAGACTACCCTTACGCTGTAAGGGTGGACTGTGCTCGAGGAAGAGAGCAAGGAGGGGAGGAGGGAAGCAGATGGAAGAGGGAAAGACATGGCCATTCATAAATCGGAAAACAAAATATATATGAGGGTAAATTCGTACGGATCAACGGTTCACGGATTTATTTATCTGGTCCCGTCCAGAAGGCAGTATATTACCACACCAGGTTCATATCTCTCCAGCCCTCATGTATAAAGCTTTCATATATGAAATATATAAAATTGTTGGAACTGAAAGCGGGTCTCTGCTTCCAATTTTTTTTAATTATCTGCTTACAGGTGGGAGCATAAAATGTCCATATTTTGATGGGAACATAGGTCCTTATGGAGTAGCCGAAGTTATTGTCTATGATATGAATATTATCGATTACAATCCGATCAGGATCCTTGTGATTTAATTAATAAGTAGCTCCATGCGCCGCGTAAAATGATCATCAAGAAAAGATGAGGAACTCCTAGGCTCTAATGTCTCTACAGGAATACGGGCAACTTACGTAATATGGGGAGAGGCTGCGTTGGAGCGTTCTGAGAATCCATGTAGATATCGCAGTGATACTTAGGGTAGCTTGTTGATAAGGAATTTGAAATCTCGGAATTCAACGCTTTGTGTTAGGATATGCTCGCGAGATGGGATGCTGGAGCCATGTTAGAAATGAACAAGATAGGCAAGCCAAGTCCAGTAGTGGGCCTAGTTTCAATTAAGGAAGCCCTCATTTTGTCGCCCAATTGAACAAAAAGCCATCTTTCTCCGGTCTTTGACCATCAAAAACCTCATTCTTCATTTATATTTGGTAAAAAGAGACAAACGGTACCCATGAAACGATTATGGGAGAATGAAGGGCTGTACGTGGTTGGATCCATCCGCCACGAAGTTTGGTAGGGAACTGACGGCTCTGGTTTGCTGACAAGGCACCACGCCCAAAGCTTGGGCCGTACGCGCATGCTCATTGTGGTCCAGAACCTGAAGGGTGAACGGGTACGAGTGCCTTCCCCTCCATGACCAAATTTCAAATCCAAAAATTGCAACAAGCATGGCAACTTTGGTGCAAATTCACCACAAAATGACCTCAGCCTGTATCTTGTTCATATCTACCCGCCTGCCAATTTTCGCATTGATCAGACCAATATTTTTTTAGTCATCATCGGACAACCAAAGTGTGACACAGGGACAGACAGGGCGGGACTATAAGTGGTCTCCTTCCTTTCAGGAAAGGAGGCCCACTAAAAAGAAGTCAATATTGTGAAAGGTCTCCCCGGTTAATTTCAAGTTGACAAAATCTACGGGGCGAAATGCATTGGACAACAGGGGATTCGTTGAGAATCCCGGAATCGTTGTCGACTGCCACATATTTCTCGAAAGGTCAGCAGCTTTTATTACGTTAATGAGTAATATCAGCGAGAAGCCTCAGAAGCTTTACTCTTAATTGAGATCTTAATGAGCTTAATAAAAAAGGTGATTGCTGCAAGGAGTAGAAAGACATTGAAAGGAGTTCCCTCTATGGTCGAAGATGCTTCATTTATGCAGTCAAGTACCGGACCGAAATACCTCTTTACGAGATTCGGCTTTCATTACAGTTGAAAATCTGGCGTTCGATTTTGAAGCAAAAACAAATCGAGGTGGGGGGGACTCGGGTAATCGCATTATCAGGTGGGATATCAAATGGACAAAGCACAGCAATGTACTGTTTTCCACATAAATTGAAGGTGGTAAGCAATGGCTAAAATTGGAAGTGGAATCTGAAGATGCACTGGGGCAATCAAGCAGTAAAAAGTAAACTAAGCTTCCTGCGCGATCATTCGAAGGGAAAATTACGTTGCCAAAAAAGGAGAAAGCGATGAGACTTGCGAAGAACGCTTAGAATAGTGCCGAGAGAATTTTCCTCGCGACAGAAGGATCAATTGCCCTACGTTCCTTCGTAGGGCAATTTTTACACCTGAAGGAGTAAAAACAAATAATGCAAATTTTCAGAATCACCAAAAATGTGTTTTTAATTCTTGAATTAAATGAACAATGCCAATGCCTCACTATGATATCAATATAAGCACTATCACATAATTCTCCTTGAGTCTGATTATTTTTCACGAAGCCTGACATCATCCTCTTTTAAAGATGAAGGAGTTTTTGGAGCTATGTGCACCTGATATGGATTTCATCAATGCTGTGGGGTTTGTGTTGCAAGCCTCCACAAGCAGACTCACGGCCACGCAGAAGTACATATTTCTTGCAATCTCCCAACTATTTGGGATCGACACCAAGGACAAGTTCGTGCTGTTGATAAGCTTTAGTGATGGACAGGAGGCGCCAGTCATCCAGACAGTCGAAGGTGCCGGGTTTTCCTACAACAAGGACTACTACTTCAATAACTCTGCCTTGTTCGCATCTAACAACTGGGAACCGCAAAACATGTTCTGGGATTTGGGGTTGAAAAGCAACGAGATATTCCTGAATTCCTTGGGTAAAACATCTCCTGTGGGTCTGGCGCAAACAAAAATTGTGCTCGCTAAAAGGCAAGACCTGAATGAGACATTGAAAGAATTGCAGAAAATGATCCCTGAAGGTAAGCGAATGTTTCACAAAAGTTTCTTGGATTCTTGTTCTTCATTTCCTCTATACACTTCCTTTCCTTCCAGTTTCGTCTAAAATCATTCATCTTGAAGACAAATGCTTACTACTTAAGAATAACTTGTCCACAGAAGTACTAAAAATTCCTTTGGAGAAAGAAAATGCCATAAACTGTTCTAAATGCAAACATACCACGTGCGAGTATCCGGCTACGATCTCAAAACTCACGGACGTGAAGGAAAGCAAATGCATGAAATCCGAGGATAAGTCGTTTCACTGCAAAAAATGTGGATGCTCTTGGAGAAACCATCGACTAGAACCTAAAAGATACGAAATGAAAGCTACACCAAAGAGGAAGCGAAGGAAGGATTCAGTCAAAGACGACGAGGAACGAAGGCAAAGGCGTGATCTCCAGCGGCTTATTAACGAAATTCAGAAGAACCAGGTGGAATTGCTCTCTCTAATCCAACGGGCTCACCACGCTACTAACGAACTCAGGAAGATAGCCCTCAATCCGGACCCGATGCCCATGGAGGAATACATTAACTTCCTCATTGACCTGGAGAAGAAAGAGCACAAAGAGGGGTTCTCAATGCGAATCCAACGACTAGAGCAGGTAAAGCAGGCGTGCGATGTTTGTAAGAAGATGCTCGAGGAGGAAAATATTTCCGCTGATTTTCCAGACGTAATGCATATCCTAGAAAAGCAAGGAATAGACTTTGAGAGCCTGACAAACGATTCCACCGACACAGAACCGGAAGCCGAAGCACCATGGAATATAGTTGACACCTTCAAGGTTATATTCAGCTTCTTTCGTAGGAATTTGAAGGAAATTTGAATTTCGCCGAGAAGCAGGATTTTTTGTACATCAAACGTCATCCAGAGGCCGAAAAAATCGTAGCATGGTGACGGAAGAACAAGCACGAGCAATGTGTCATATTTCTCTGATGTATTCAGTTTTGGTCATTGTCAAGAGTCCTTTCTCAATCGTATTAACTCCACATACTTTCGTTTTGCTATGTTAAAAGAACTGAATCACCTTTTTTTCTTTCCTCTTAACAAAGTGGAAAGTCTTTTTTATCTGGGTTTTTGTTCAAATGTATACAGAATGGGTACTGATTAAGCGTGCGCAAGTCTTTGTGTCTCATCCATATTCCTTTTTCCTCCTTGGAACTGATTTTCTACCTTCTTTACAGATGCATCATGGATTCATTGTGAATCTTGTAAATGCCCACTGTGGTTCGCGCGTCCACGTCGTGAAGATGGGCCTCAGTAATTCGGAAGGCTGTATTTTCACAGATCCTGCCATGATGCAGGAACTTCCCCCAAGAGTTATGAATCCAAGTGAAACCATGTATGTTCGGCCTTCGATGGTAACATGGAGACCAATCATCGGCAGAGTTTTTCTTATCTGTCCCAGACTTTAGAGACTCAGGGTTCTCGGCGATCGTTCGGTGGCTGCATTCAAGAATGGCCTTATCTCATACTGCCATTCTTAGATTTGAAGATTACTAACGTATCTAAGGATAAGGCTAAGCGCCCTGCTTGGACGGATGACCCAATTAAACTATCTTATGAAGAATTGCATATAGCTAAAGTGGAATGCTCAAAAAGGGAGTGTCCCCTATCACTTATCCATTCTGTTCAGACATAAATAGACTGATGAGTAACATGGTGGTTTTCATGTAAATAAAGTATAGTATATTCTAAAGAAGGGCTTTTGCGCATGAAAGAGCTTTTCGCAACAGAACCAATCCGTTTGATGCCTATGACGACTCCGAAACAGTCGTTACCGATTGGCATGACTGACAGGAGTGGCATTCTTTGGGAAAGAAGGAGTTGCTCCTAGAAAACCCCTCATATTGCTTGGTGTTTCTTTCTTCAAGTTTATGTGGCTTTGCGGTACATTGGTATACGATCCTTTTAAACTGTGTGAAATGGCTGTGTGGAAATCTCCTGGCCTTCTGCATGCAGGATAATGCGGAAGGTTGGACTTGCCTATACAGTAGACTTCCCAAGACTACACAATTGGAACTGTGTGACTGCAAGCATACCTCTTACAGATTGTTTTAAGAAATACAACTCAAAATTGCTTCATCTATTATGACAGAGCCTAAAAAGCCTACAACGATCTCAGGCAAAAGTGCATGAGATCGTTTTATATTTTAAACAATGGAGGAACAGAAACAGAGTTTGGGTGAGCAAGTTTCAACCTCCAGAGCTTGTCCGATGGCCGGCATCAGCTGTTGGCTTCAAGTCCATCTTTCTCTGAGATGGAGAAATGAGAAAAGACTCCAAGAAGTTCAAGGGCGTGAACCAGTTTGAACTGGGTTCATGCAGCTGCATCCAGACACCGGACATGAAGAATGCAAGTTATGCAACCTCAGTGGTGATCCTCGACTTTTGCTTCCATATCGTCGGAGGGTGAAATAAACACAAACGGTTGGGCATGAAGTCAAAGACGTGGAGCGAACTGTCTCCATGTTCAGGAGGCAAGACGCCCCCCGGTATTACAGTCCAAAATGAGGAAATTCATGTCGTCGGCGGTGGTAGTGCAGATGTTCCTGAATGAACTGAATCTGTGCAAGAAAAAACTCAGTCCGTGTGGGTCTATCGAGCAGCATTTATTGTTAAATTAAGTTCCACATTGGAAATGTACAAATGGAACGCTTGTTGGTAGCGGAGTGGTGGATACACTCCAGCGCTGTCTTTCCTGGTCATATATCCCCATATCGATATCATCATAGCGAACTCCTCCTGCATTTAAATTCATTATTTGGACTGGTCGTCTTTTGCAGATGGTTTTCATTCTAAACGAATAGCAGCTGAATTAATGAGTATCAATATCCAGAGTCTTTACATATAATTCATTCAATATTTCCCTTGGTTTATATCAATCTTAGTTTGCAAGGTATGACAAAAAAGACCGACGACTTCAACTGTATTTTAAGAAATATCTCACAACATGTGCTATGGATGAAGCATGCCTGTTTATTGAAAGCCAAGAAGACTGCCAAAATCCATTGCTTCGAATCATACAATAGTTTTAAACGATATCCTTTGAAAAATCTGACATTTGAAGTGGACAGTACCTTCGGAAGGACAAGGGAAATTTTGAAGAACATTAAGAAAACTCAGAATTGAAACTCATTGATTCATTTGTTGTTCATTAATATTTAGCTATTGAAAACCATCTGCAAGAGATGTTCAAAGTTAAATGGACATGGTTCATATCTCCCTGTCAGCCTGAAAGACCCGCACGAGACACCCTCCGAGAACATGTCCTGGCTACATCCCTATTCCAAAGATCAGGTCATGAACTTCCAGGACGATGTAGTTAGGACAAAGATGGAGATATTCTGTCCCAATATGCTTCTTCGTATCTCGAAGGTCTTCTTTGTACTCCGGAAATCAGGAGTAACGAAAGACTGGAAGACATCCTAAAAATTGAGTTGTCTTCTAGCAGCAGCGAAGTCTGGAGCACCTCACCTTCTTCTCTCTCCCTGGGGACTTCCCGTTTAGCTTATATAGTGATCCTTGTTCCCGTCCTTGTCATGAAACCTCAGACACTGATTGGCCATATGGCGGGAGGGCCACAGCTACTTGTGGTAACAAAAGATTCAGAAGGATGTGAGATCTGGAACCTTCTCGACGGAGACTTCCTGAGCAGCCACCGGAATTTATGGAGAACACACATTTGTCCTGCATCCCTGTCATCTTCCTGAAGAGAAGAGACGAAAGCAACAATCAATTTCTATCCCTCCCAGATTAATGCCTTAAGAAAGGAAGATGGCAGGCCTCTGGGTGCCACACATGTATCAAAGTGAGTGCACTTCAATTGAAGTGTTTTCGAGCCACATTTAAGAGCATGACCTCCGGGGAAAGACTCTTAAAGAAGTCTTTCTTTTGCTAAAGGCAGCTCTCTAATAGCCACTTGTGTTCCATATATCACTTTTCTATCACATCAGCTCTTCTCACTAGAGTGAAATAAAAAAAAGTCAGTCACAGTTCCATTCATCTAAATGTGCCTTAATGACCATATGAGTATCGCACAACAGCTAATTTTGTGCCAAATTTCATCTATATACTATACACACAGATGCATATACTACGTACTACCTGCGAAAAATGTGTTACCCCGGTGATCTTCTGGAATAAAATGAAATTATGCCTTTCACTTGGGAAAATTAGGAATTTTGAAAATAATTGGGACTCTATCAGTCCAAAAGGGAATGGTTGCAGAAATAAGTTTTATGAAATAAGTAATGTTCAGAATGATATTACACTGTAATTGAAGGTAAAAGAAGTAGGATACTGAAGTTCCTTCAGTAAAGTATTCAAATCTTAGGGGTATCTAGGAATATGTTCAGCTCCCCTATGTATGTACACACGCATGAAAACACCTCTTCGTGCTGCTGTTGGATCTCTGGATCTGCCCCTCGGGACGCTGGCCCATTCCTGCGGCAAAGTATTATAACTTCACAATGTTGTCTAGGAGTCTAAGGAAGTATTGGGAGGCGGTACAGTGCTTATCGAATGAATTCACCCCCCTGCAGTGGGCGGTGGCGCTGCTGGCTGTGAGAAGAGAGTGACATCTCTTTTTCATCCCATAAATAGCTAAACTAATCACATTTGCGATCCCAGCAAGGTACCCAACTACCATAGACCAGAATGATACCTTGAAGGAGCTTCTCAAACTTGACATAATACAGCTGATCAGAACGAGCAGGAACCAACATTCCTTTAAAAAGTTCGAGTGAAGTGAACCTTGAGGATTGTCAGAGCACCTAAGTAAAAATGATATAGTCACCTTGTCATCGACGCAATCACGAAATCAGTCATATATACAGTATAATTCTGAAGCATTTTTATTTTTACATCATAATTTTTCATACATGAAAAGACACACCTGGAAAATTTTCAAATTTCTCAATATTCCGGAAATCCGAAGATGAGTTAAACGAAATTTTAATTGTTAACTTTCTGAATCCTTCTCCATAGTCTTGGTTTTCACGGAAGCTTTCCTTTCCCTTTCCCTTCTAGGAAAACCTCATATGGCAGGCGATCTACGTTCGATGTACTAACAAATAAGAAGAAATAGACTAGAATCCAGCTGATGCCTAAGTTAATGAATAAAATTGATCAAATGTAGAAATAAAAGAAATTTGAGTATAGAATGTAATTTTTCCCTCCTCTGAGTCTAAATAATGGTTATGAAATCCTTCGTTAGTCAAAGGGTATCATTGATGTGATTAAAATGAATGAGAGAAAGAAGTTAGGGGCATCTCATTATCTCTCCAAAAGAGTCTTTCATAAATTAATACGATTTATTTTGTTGGAAGACTAAGCGAGATTTAAATGGAAAACTCAGAATGGATGAATACACTTTCCCCAACCGTTTAGAATGCAGGACAGAGCGACATGGGCGACATCTGCCTTGATTAGTTGTTATTAGCAGTTACAACATCCGCAGATGCGTCATAGAAAAGCATGGCGAGTCATAGGAGCCCTTAGTAAGAGGAGGGTGAATTCATTCGATAAGCACTGTAGACACCTTTGCCTTGCAGGTCTTAAACATGTTCAATGGCATCGAGTTTGCTGAAATGGCTGGTCTGTTGAACCAGTCTTTTTCATCCTGGTGCAGCTGTTTGGTTGAGCACCTATGCCCGATGAGGTCTTATCATCTTGAAGAGCGGCTTTTTAATTCCATTTTGCAAGTATTGCAAGTATGACAGGAGAACAGGTTGCTGGATTTATCTTCCATGGACAACCTGCAGTGGACATCTGCCGTGGCACCTCCTTCAATCACTTCTCTCGATTCAGTTAGTTGAGAATCCTCGTGACTGAAATTTGTGCATCCAGAGGTATTAAACAGCTTGAGAGTGGTAGGGGCTGGTGCTGTTCTCAAGATAGAGGGAGACTAGGAATGAGGGGAAAGACGAGAAGGCGAAGGCAGAGAAGGAAGGAGAAAGAAACTGCAGGGAAACAGGTTTCAGATGCAGATCCCCTCCGTCATCGCTTTCTTTCGCCTAACATTTTCCTTCGCATTCACGATTGACACCTTCAGGAGGAGTAGTACTTTCAAGTCCAAGCCCACCCTATCCATCACATACCCAAGAAACATAAAAGCAAAAGGCAACCTCCATCAGTTATCCCAGCACAGGCGAAGAGAAACGTTTCCAATGCCTAAAGTTTACATAATTAAATGCTTGACATTCTGGAGAGACTCTGATGGGAAAATGCAGGCATCGACAGGTGGAAAATGGATATTTAATATTATTAAGATAGGAGGGAATATCTAAATATCATTGTATAAGAAGCAAGACACTAAAACGAAGTGATGAAAGAACACAATGGAGGATTTCACGTGATTCGACATCGAGGGTTCTGCTCCAGGTTGCAATTGACTTGAAGTAGAGAAATTCCATCTCACGAGACCTCATTCGAGTGGCATTTCTGAAACTCAGCTTGATTGCTTACCAGGACAATGGGAGCACCCTTATTCCTCATATGTGAGTCCTTATCGCTATCTTTTCATAGGTTTCCGAAGTCTATTCCACATATCTCGTCATTCCTAGAATTTAAAAAATACATATAGAATTTTGGGACATGGCTTGAATTATAGTATCACATTTTCCTTCTGACTCATTCAAATTTCGATCATGATCAGAGAAGTGCACATTACTTTTTATGTACCGAACATGACCTTACGCATGATATCAGGTGACATAACATTCCACCACCCACATTTCTTTATTCGCGATCATCTGTTTGGAACTCTATTACTACAGATGTTGGACTCTCAAAAGTACCCATCGAAAACCCAATTTGTATTCGCACCTGTGCAATCAGCTTTGATGCTAGTTTTATTATTGCTGTCTGACCAATGCATTTGAATTGAATATTTTTAGATATTTTTGGGAAGTTTCATGAACTGGAAAGAAAAAAGCAGAGGAAGAAAAATGCCTCTCACACCACACTGTATAGGATAGTGCCTCCAGCTGAAATCCATACTTCAGTGCCTGAAGAATTTCAACGAGCAAATGGCTCACTCATACAAGTGACTTAACAGGAGCATTATTACTGGAGCTTCAAACCCGAGAAGCGTATGTCACAAGATAATTGTATGCCTAAGCTAATGTCAAGAATTAGCTAGGTCTTTTGAAAAGTGATTTTTTTGGAATCAAAAGAGTTGAGAAGTATTTGACATGGGACACTGTGAAGAACAGTGCAGCCTTGTCTGATATATGCACCAAGCTTCACCATAAGACACATTACGCATGCGTGGGATGTTTAGCACGTGTGTTCGCACAAATGCTAAATGAAATAAAAAGGCATTCAAAAGTGCCTCTTTCAGTTCCACCCTTGGAGAACAGCCTCATGGAAATGGGGCACCACTAATAATTTTACCTCCAGTTAACTATCGACCTTTATGTCATCTTAGAAATTGTGGAGGCCATACTTTCTGCAATTGTCCGTGGGGTAACCTCATGTCCTTTGGGAGATAAAGGGGGTGAATTAACAGGAAGAAGTGTACAAACCTTTTTTCTCGAAATCTTCCAATTATGGATCAAATGGATAAAAATCTCCCTCCAGCTTCTCTGCCAATTCTGATATGGTTCGGGCATCTTTGTGATTTTCCATCCATCGGCGGGTTTGACCTTTTCCACTAGGAGCCTCTGTCACGACGTCGATATATTCAGTGAGTCCTAAAGGATTGCGTTGAAAAGATATTTTCTTGAGTTTCTGCATGCACTCCTGCGCACGCTTCATCAGTCTTAGGGCGTGGGTTTTCTCCTGTTTGAATTGCTTGAGCAATACCTGTACAATCTCTTGAGAATTCATTTTCCTCCCAAGGACTTTCTCGTACTTTGCCTTCATTTCAGTGTACCTCCTGACCTCCTGTTCTTGATGCCATTCCAAGCGATAATCATTGTTGCAATGTTCAGATGCTGGACATTTTCCTGGACAGACTTTGCAATGTGTCCGTGTCTCATTCATAGCAGAACATCCACCCTTTTCCTTGTTCTTAGGGACGTGGCAAGGATAATGACAGCTGATGTGGCATATCAGGCAGTTTGTAACATTTTCGCCTGGACCCAAGCGGACTTTTTTCTGCTTTAGGAGAACCACTTCGTATTCGAAATCCATATTGGCTTCAGCTTCTGCTTCGTGCTGTTTCAAAGCTGCATATTCTTGCTGCAGCTGCTCCAATCGTCCCAAAACTGACAAAAAAAATTATTTAAATAACTAAAGTACACGTTCTTCCATTTGGAAAGGGAGGCATTAGAGTTTTGTCTTACCTGTACTCATTTGATGTATAGTATCGTGGGTGGAAGCTTTTAAGTGTTCAAGTTCCTTCAGATCTGTCCTCGTCAGCGCCAAGTTGATGGAGTTAGTGTTTTGAAGATTCAGGAATAATTTTTGTAACCTATCTTTCCCATAGTCCAGAATGGCTTCCAATCTCCCTTGAGAAAGAGCGCGCAATTGTTGAACTGAATGGGTTTGTGCAATGGCATGCCCATGTCTTTCAGAGCGAGTAAGACTGGAGGCATGCTTACGTCCGAAAATGTGGTCACAACAAAAATATTTTCAACATGTTTCCCAAATATAGCTAAAAGGGAGTTAAATATATTTTTTTGATTGTACGTGAGTCTGGCCTGGGAGGCCTGTACGACAAAGCAGATTCCATGAAGTTGTTCCGCACCGATATTTCCTGCACGGGATAAGAATTCCCGAATTTGATTTGCTAGTTCTTCGTCCGCTTTTATCTCTTCTGTATCTCCAAAACTTGGGGCGTCGATGACTGTCAAGGTAAATGGCACAGCGAATCCTTCTTGCCTGTGTAGAACGTATGTCGTGATGCACGTGGTCTGACTGCGTACTTGCGCATTCTTTCCTTTGTCCTCGATCAACTTGAAACGGAAGTTATCTTCCCACTTCACATTGTATAAGTAATTCACCATTCCATTGATGAGGGTTTTCTTTCCTAGGGTAAGAAAGAAGTTCGCCGGTATTAATTTTTCATTCGTCTTGCATCCTATATGAACTTAAATTAGAATGATTTCACCTGCCCTTGAGGCTCCAACAACCATAAGCACCTTTCCGATTCCCTCAGTGTTTCCCCTGTCGCCAATTTCATATTTAGCTACTCCATACTCGGCATCTTCCATCACTATCTTCTTTGGCAGGCGATAAATGAAACCGTCGTTTTCCTTACACTGGTTCCTCATTTTGTGAGCAAGGGAGAACTGTTTGGTTTCTCCTTCTCGCAACGCCTACGGTGGTAGAACTAGGTTGAAGACATGGTTTCCAAGAGGGAGGTTCATATGAAGTATGTACTTTCATCGTCTTTCATCATGAATTCTAGGTCTGCGGCAGTGCTTAATCGAGGTTGAGCGTCAGGTACTATGTAAATTTATTTGTATTATGTCTGTCGATTGGTGATCATCTGGGACGATGCAACGAGGTTCAAGGAGGTTAATTCGAGTATATACTCTGAATCACGCACATTGTGAGGGTCACACCTTGGTGACAGGTATATTATTTTAATTTAGCCCTCTATTCTTTATGTTATGAAAATATGGCAAAAAATATGCCGATTTTAACTTAGAATATCAAATATCAAGTTAATGTTGCTAATATCGCTTTTTTGGTAACTTTATACAATGAGTAGTAACGCTACGTCCCAATAAACATTTTTCTGAAATCTAAATGTATTTTACCAATTTTGCAACGAACCCCGAATGCGCAAGTTTAAAATGAATTGATATCTCTTTTTTGGTAACTTTATACAATGAGTAGTAACGCTACGTCCCAATAAACATTTTTCTGAAATCTATATGTATTTTACCAATTTTGCAACGAACCCCGAATGCGCAAGTTTAAAATGAATTGATATCCACTTGATTTCCTTGTATCCCAGAGCTCAAATTCCCTTGCTTGAGGGGTTTTTTTTCTTGGTACGTTATATAGAACAGGGGAAACTTGAAGAGTGCCTTGTCACTTCTTCAGTCCATTAGTCATAATACTTTTAATATCAAGGACATTTGTCCATTTGCAGGCTTTAAAAATCCTCCATCCTTCCCAAATGGGAAGATAGGATCAATTGATGAAAAGCTGGACTAGCCCATTCCAGTAGAGGGCCTGCTTTAGGTGAGGAGGACCCTCATTTTGTCACCTAATTCAACAAAGTACCATATATTTTCAGTCCTTAGCCATCACGAGTCTCATTTCTCAATTGGATTTTGTAAATACAGACAAGTGGGGCCCATGAAATGAGGGTGGAGGATTGTGCGAGGCTGGATCCATTCGCCACATTGGGTTGTAGTGAACTGACAGCAATTCTCTGACACGGTAGCCGTGCCCAACGCCTGGGTCTTACGCCCATGCATATTGTGGTCCAGGGGCTGTATTCTATTAAATTCTTAAGTGCGATTTCACTCTTAGCAAGCTGCTTAGCTGGTACTTGCCACATTCAAATGAATGGCCGAGGTTGAGCAATTTGCTCTACTTACGTCTGAGATTTTAATATAATACTGCCCCAGATTCTAAAATGCACGTGGCGTTTCATGTCTTCCACGCCATTATCTAATTTCAAATTAAAAATCCACAATAAGTTTTTCATATTTTTTTAGCGATTTTGCCTCAAAAACAAACACAGCCTGTATCATCTCCACACCATAAGGGCTTGCTGATTTTCGTCGAGCGACCAAAGTGTGGACAGATAGACATACAGAAACGCGGAAAGGACGGGACCATAAGTGGTCTCTTTTCTTTTAGGAAAGGAGACTCACTAAAATGTGAGTTGAGGGAGGGGGGGGGGACCTGAGGTACCGCTTGTTGTCGCATCTCCCCACCTTCTCGACTTATTTCATGATCATCCTGCCTAATATTATTATTGCTGTGTTCATTTCCAGGGAGCAAATGCATTCGAACGTGTCGTACTTTACTCAACCAGGAAAAGAGTCTTCCCATGAACACGAAGGCGCATCTTTAGTGCAACTGAATTAAAGCTTTTGTCACATCTAAGATATTGTTGAAGCCATGCTTACCAAAATTCTCCTAGGGGCAGCCACAGGTCCTCTAATAGACGAAGTAGCAGGTTCCGAGCGGGAAATATCCAATCCTTGTTTCTCGAAATCTTCCATCATATCTAAGATATTGTTGAAGCCATGCTTACCAAAATTCTCCTAGGGGCAGCCACAGGTCCTCTAATAGACGAAGTAGCAGGTTCCGAGCGGGAAATATCCAATCCTTGTTTCTCGAAATCTTCCATATGTGACTCAAACGGATCAAAATCATTCCTAAGCTTCTGTGCCAATTCCGCATTGCCGCGTGCATCCTTAAGATATTTGATCCTTTGGTCATAGCCAGGTTCAACATTTTGTTCCTCAGTCGCAATCATGAGATCGATATAGTCTGTGACACTTAAAGGATCGGGCTTCAAAGCTATTTTATCCAGTTTCTGCAGGCACTCGTGTGCAGACGTCGTCAGGTTTAGAACGTTAACTCTCTCTACATTGAATTTCTTGATGAGTTTATTCACTTCCTCTTCGGCATTCGATTTCTTCCCAAGTGCTTTCTCGTAATTTGCCTTCTTTTTGGCATGGCTCCTGACCTCCTCTGCATGATATAATTCCAAGCGGTAATCATTCTTGCAATGTTTAGCCAGTGGACACTTTCCTGGACAGACTTTGCAATGTGTCCGTGTCTCATTCATAGCAGAACATCCATCCTTTTCCTCGTCTTTGCCGAGGTTGCAAGGGTAATGACAGGTGAATTGACATACCAGACAGTTTGTAGCATATTCACCACGACTCAGTGGAATTTTTTTTTGCTTCGGGACCTGAACTTTGTACTCGAAATCTTTATTGGCTTCCGCTTCTGCTTCGTGCTGCTTCATATCTCCATATACTTGCCGAAGCTGCTCCAATCTCCCCAATGCTGGCAAAACATATAGTCAATAATTGCCTTTTGAGTTGAAGACAAGAAATACGAGCTTTGCGTACCTTTTGTAATTTGCTGTTGAATGCTTTGGATGGTTGCCTCCAAGTTTTTTCGCTCTTCCAGAACTTCGTTTGTCAACGTCAAACTCACAGGTTTTGAGTTTCGGAAGGTTGTAAAGAAATTTCTTTGGTTATCCTCGCTCATATCCCAATAGATATGATATAGTTTCTCATTTTTGGGATCGTCTCCGCTTCGGACGAACAGGGAAGCATAGTCGATCTTAAACGATTCCTTATATGGGATGTTGGCAAGAGCTAGAGCGTTTAAGACTAATGGCTGCTGCAAGGGATGTGCATATGTGGTGAAAACAAATATATTCTCTTCTACGTCCTTCCCAAACACAGCCAAAATGGAGTCAAATATGTATCTTTGAGTGGGCGTAAGCCTGTTCTGGTGGGCCTGGACAGCCAAGCATATTCCATCAAGCTGATCTGCACCTATATATCCTCCATGGGAAAAGAATTCCCGAATCTGATTCTGCAGTTCTTTGTCCGCTTTGATTCCTTCTGTATCGCCAAATCCTGGAGTGTCGATTATTGTCAAGGTAAAGGGCACAGCGAATCCCGGCTGCTTGTGTAGAACGTATGCCGTGATCCACGTGGTCTGACTGTGTCCTTTGGGCTTCTTCCCTTCGTCCCCGATTAACTCGAAACGAAAATCATCCTCCCATTTCACATTGTATAAGTAATTCACCATTCCATTGATGAGAGTGCTCTTCCCTGAAAGATGGACCAAGACACCTGGATATCATTTCTCATCCATGTTTCACTCAACATGAACCTACACTGAGATAAACTCACCTGTTCCTGTTTCTCCAATTATCATGAGTGTCTTTCCGGCTCCACCTTCAGTTCCTCTGTTACCTATTTCGTACTTGGCTAATCGATTCTTCTCATCTTCCATCAGCTTCTTCCTTGGGAGTATATGGATGAAGCCAACATTGTCCTTACACTGGCTTTTGATTGTTCGAGCCAAGGAGGACTTGTTTTCTTTTTCTTCTGTTGCCTGTGCAAATAGAACACTGACTATATACTCGTATATACGTATAATGGACTACGATGGCTTTGGGAAAAATAACGTTATGATGTCAGAAAAAAAGTTTGTCGTGGAAGCCCCTAATATACCGTACTAACTTCATTCTAGCCCCACGTTCTGGAATAGGAGAAGGAGTATCCTTCGGGGATACGATGAGCAGAATTCCCCCTCAATTGTCCAGAAAGGAGGGAAGGGATCAAGAAGCAAGAATAAACCGAAGAGTGAAGGCCCTTTTCGAACCTTGGCATGGAACGAATGACCTTATTCAGGATGACTTGCCTTCTCTGACCAGTCTGGACAGCCTTCGATATACAGGGTGTCCCAAATTGATTGATGCATTTTTTTAAATGCTATTTCTCGTAAAATAATACCGATAGAAATTAATGGTCCTCGCCAATTCATGAAGCACGGTATGAAGTTTTTTATATTCACAATTTTTTTTAAAATAAACTTCAGCATTGTGGTTGCCGTTGCATGACACGAAGGCACTTTTATTTTTTAATTAAATAATCATTTCCTGCGAATCATAAAGTTTAACAGGAGGATGCCATACGTGTGTCTTTTACCATATGAAAATGTCATGCATGTGTATGAAATTCCAGGCATTCCCATGCAAATGTAATGAAACATTTCTGTGCTGGCATCTGAGCGTGCCAAAAACTAAAAAAAAGAACCCATGAAGTGAACAAGCACAACGAATACGAGGTATTTGTGGTTATCAATCTTCTGTCTCAATCCAGTAGGGGAAAGGGGCAGAAATTGAGCTGCGAATTTCCCAACCTCACATAATCCACGTTTTTCAAAATTCATGTGAATTCTCTAGGAGTCCACTTAGAAAATAGACCTCGACAACTTGCCAGATATCCCATACCATGAAATCAGCAACACGTTGGAAGTCAGGGAGGAGACCAATCGGAAGGTTCAAGGGAAACACGTGGCGCTTGTATACGGTGCAGGCGCTAGGAGAGGTAGCCGAGAGCTAGGAGAGGCACTAGGAGACCTAGGAAACCCAAACAGCCTCTCTTCGTCACATCAACAGGAATGAAGGCGACACCTAGAAATCCGAGAGTCCAGCATGTGAACACAAAAGGTACGTCTAGTCCCTCCCCTTATCTACCCGGAACAAGCATACGAGGTATGTGAAGATTCAGGTATTTACTGACAACCTTGCTATCAGAGTTTTCCCACATAACTAGGGGAATGAGTATCACTGAAGGAGCTCGTCGTTATCAGGGGATCCGCCATTTCATTCACCTTCTCTTATACCTTATCTGAACTGACTCACGGTAACGTATGCCCTGCGCCTACCCTTTTTTTTCTCTCTAACTTGTTACGAAGTCAGGTGCAACTCCTCAACACCAGACATGACTCTTTTAGATCTGGGCAATTACATGTAAAAAAGGTTTTGTCATTAAGGACTACCTTTTCTCCGAAAAATATGTAAAACTAAGAGTCCTAAACATGTCGTGTTACATCTAGATATAGAACCTTGCAAAAGAAAAAGGGCAGTTAGCATAGTTTTTTGCAGGACCTGGTATTAATCACATTTCGTTTATGTATCATGTGCAGTTCGCGCAAATGGCTTGCCCGTACAGCGCAAGGGCATAGGCTTCAATGTGTTTACAGCACAATCGCTCCGACCGGTTTGGTATCGGAAGGAGCAGATACGGAAGCTGTGGTACTTGAGATGAAGCCATCAATTATAAATGTTCCAAGGCAAACAAGGACATAATGAAAAATCAAACATTTCCTTGCATTGTACTCAAGAGAAAAGCATATTAGACACAGGGGAAGTCAAATAGAACAGTCGCATTTCACGCCCGCGCCAGACAACCATAAAAGGCAGAGAATTTGTGAAAAGTGAAGAAATGGGTGCCATTTGGTTCGTGTCCCCTTTTTTCTAGATGGACCCCTTCATTTTCCCCCGCAAATACCGAGAAACCTTTCTACTTTTTATTCCTCCCTCAAATCTGCTGTGGATCCGATATAGATGTTAGTGTATGCCGAGACTTCAAAAAGTCACTATTTCAGACCCTCGTAATTACGACGAAAGTGACAGGAGACGCTCTGCTATTTTTATAGGTTCAAGAAACGCGTAGGTCGCACACTTACTTCCCATACTCATCTCCAAAGCTAGCGATGAAAACATAGGTCACTTTGGAAAGTTTTAAATTACTGGACCACGCAACATTCCAGCCCTTGCGGAACCATCCAGCGGCATGAGGGGAATCGAGACGCCTACAGCTGCGAATAATTTCGCGGAATCCCGCTTATGTTGTTAGAACTTTATTTGTATTGAATGAACCACAAGATGTCAGACCTGACGGAAGCCCATTTCAAATCGGTCCATCCAAGCTCATCCAATGGAAGGCCCTAAGGTGTCCATTCCCCAAGTCGTCCAGTCCCAAGACGAACTTACCCATCCTTTCTTTCAAAATTCGAATACTGGAATGATCCAATAAATATGCCACTATTGATATGATGCCTGAAGTTACGGATTTCAATCTAAGATGAGCGATTTGAAGGGAAAAAAAAGGAACTCCGGAAATCACATGATCAGATGCTCGTGTCGCCATTCCATGAAGCCATGATTCAATAAAATCGAAATGATTGAGTGGAAGTGTAGGGAAATATTGCCCAGATAAAGCTAAAATCCACTGACAAGATATGGATCCATAGACTGTCCAAGGACGAAATTAGGATCATCCATTGCTATTCGGGTACGTAGAGTCCAGATTTCCATAGCAAAAATCGGATTGATTTAATTGCGCATGTCTTCGCATGTCGCGTCTTCGAAAAACATCAAAGATATGCCAAGGCTAATGCAGCATCATAAGGACCCGGTGATTAAATTTCTCCAAGAGGGTGTAACGCAACACGAAGTTGTGCGGCGATTCGGATGCGCTCGTGTGGCATATACCTTGTTGAATCGGCACTTCATCGAAACTGGCGAACAGTTGACCTTGAGAATTGCTAAATCCTTGAAGGTTCAACCCGGTAAAGGCCACGTGAGCGCATCTGAATCGCTGAATCCTTAATGTTGGCTTTCTCAGAAAGAGCGGATACAATGCCATCACTGCTCCTAATACGTGGGCGAACCCTGCATTACCCTGTTACGTTCCTTTTTTGACGCTAGTATAGCTTGGCATATAACAAATGACGCCGTAATTGAAAGCATGGAAGTTCAATGCTTCATGAAAAAACATGTGGGAGATAACCAAAATGAGAAGCATTGAAAGAATTGAATGGAATCGCCCAAAAAATGAAGTCAAACAGAAAAAGTGATAGAAAATAGTCCAAAAACTAGCAAGGGTGGTCGCATCTAATTACCGAAGGTAATCAGATTCCAGATGTTCCAGTTTCCATGATAGAAATGGCCATTGCGACAATGCAAAACATGTGTATTTCGGTCTACTTTAACGAAACGCCACGTCGACTTAAACTTGAAATGAAAGGATTGTCACGTCGCCTGATCTGCTTTTGCTGCCTTGCCTCGCCACATGCATGAAATGAACAGGAAACCGGCAAGGACAAAGCTTTCCTCATATTTTATAACACAGAGCAACTACGAAAGTCATTGCGCTTGAGGCTGAAGCATGATACTATACCGTATGCCTGACAAACGTCACAGTTCCACTTCTATTTCCATGAAAAAAAGGAAGTGTATAAAATTTCTAATCGCCCTGATATGCGTACACGCCGTGGGCGAGCTGTGCAGTGCGGGCAGAAATAAACTTTTCTTGGGACTTATATTAAGACAATATTCCAATATGGTAGGTTTAAAAAAAAAAGACAACCTGTTTTGTTCTTTCACCAAACTGCCGGAAGCAGTAGATTTCGGTACTTTCAATTGCTGAAATACTCCGGATGCTGGAATGAAGTATAATGGTATCTCAAGTGTTTCAATCGGTGGATTTTACTTTTATCATCATTTAAGGAGCCAGAAAGCTACCCATAGCGAATTTAGACTGTACGGTTGGGCCTGATTCTCGTGCACTCACAGGCATGAGTATCAACGAGTACGTAAAGGAATCATCTACGGCGTATTTAGGAAGACGTTGGGGGTCGATGGAGATCTCTTGGCAGTGTAACGGCTCCCATTTTTTAACGGTCATGATGCAGATAGGATCGTTAGAAGGTCGGAGGGCAGATACACATCTCAAGAGGGGGGAGTGGGGAGTGGGGGGAAGGAGGACGATTCCAGCTAGAGGCGGCGCTTCCAGAGTATAAAAGGCTTATGGGGAACAGTACATGCGAAGAGTCATTTCCAGGATGGCGTTACTCATGAGGCACAAGTTCCCTTCTTCGGTGAGTTGTTCTATTTTGCTCTTGAATCTAGATTTTATTGTTGTTTGGTTTGATTGAATGCAAATAATATCAGCCAGTTCAACGATTTTCCTTGGTTTCTTACAGTTATGCCGAAGACATACGGTGCTGGACAATACGATACGGAGAGGTGCCGACTTGTCCCAGACACCAAAGGATCAAGGTTCCCCCTGCCATTAGCCCCTTTCTTCAGAGCAGCAACACGAGGTAACTCGACCCGATAGAAGTGGAAGGGAACTGTAACCGTGCAAACTCGTTTCCCAAGGCAGAGAGGATGCTCTCATCGCCACCGGAACACCCGTCGCTACCGTAACTTCGCCTTTAACCGGGAAACATCCACTTTCGTTTCACTCACGCCCTTGTGGGATCAACAACTCACCGACGCAGGAGGGGCTGGAGAATTGAGCTATCCCTGCAGACAACGGACAACTAGCTACGATGTGATGAGTTTCAAGCCTGTTCCACTTTTCACCACTGGCCACGATCCTCTGGGATTGCCAGAACCAGCAAGTTGCATCAAAATTATCCTTGACGTGGTGGTCCGCCGGCTGTTGTGGCTCTCTAAACGCCACAGAACCGCCAAGAATCTGGACCGCCTCCGGCCCACAACCTACGTTATACTCGGGGGGTAATTCTGAACGTTCTCTGGATATTAGACTGAAAAAAGTGAACACGATGCAGTAAGAAGTTGACTTCGGCACAGCTACAACTCCACCGCGAATATTAGTCGTGAGTACTTGATTGGGGGTCACTAGGAATTGAATGGACTTCTTCATTCTGTCCTTCAGCTCCGATAGCAGTCTAAGCTTCGTTGGTGCCGGCGCATACATCTGGGCTATTAAAATAAATGAAGCCAGTTGATGATTAATGGGTGGAAGTCTGATCGTAAAGTGGATTATGGTGACCAAGTTAAGCTTGGTGGACACGATGATATATCTGTAATGAATGTTGCAAATATTGATTTTTTTGTAGAAATGAGGCCGTTTACCCCTGTGTACCTTCTCATAATATGAGACCCTGTGTAATGCCCAGGCATTATCGATAGACGCAGTGATACTTCCAATCCATATGAGATGGCTGACTCCTCCACGGGCGAGATTTCACTTCAGCTCGTTTAGCCTTCACGACAGCTGAAAAGCTGTGCAATTCGTGAAATCATGCATCAGCAACTGGAGAATGTTGAGAAGTCTTCAGAACGTATCACTTCACGCATTCGAAGTTAAAGTTTGAAGTTGCACAATGACAGGGCTAGGTATTTTTTTAGTGTATTATTATTAATAAAATATAACTAAAGTTCGGAAGGGTAATAAACTTTGCTCAGAGCGGGCACACAGACTCCTTCCTGGCCTCCCCTCCCCCGACAAAAAAAAGCCGTTCTCCATTCTATTTTCATCACAAGTGAAAATGCGAGCAGTCTCTCCTCTGGAACAAGTGCAAAGAATGGGTTAACCCTTGTTGCACCAGTAATGGAAGTTCTTTACCTGTTTATTCGACCTCTCCAATGGCCCTTGTAATTGATATCCATGGTAGCAAATTGGAACGCGAAACATTGGACTTGGAAAGCGAAAATGTAATGAGTTTGCATATTTCCCTCTCCTCAACCAATATCGAAAAGCGAGCGAACTCGATGAGTCGTTGTATCCGTCTCACTCGCGCATCGCACTCACGCCCTCACGCCCGATGCATTCACTGATTTAAAGAAGAGGCTGAAAAAAATTGCACTGAAACGACTAGGAAAGTGAAGGAGAAACAAGTCGAGTTAAATGACATGGCATAACGCTGTAAATGGTGGGGAACATGGTTACCCCCGTAGCCGCTGCAAGTTCAAGCGAACCAGGCACAAATTACGAAATTAACAGGTCACTGAACACATAGCTGAGTTCAGAAAGAATATGGGCCTACGGTTTTCTCACTTAACTTGGACGGCTCAACGCACGCCAACCCTCTAACTGCCATCATCATGACGCTAGGCCTATGCAATCTTGGAACATTGGTTACACGAAGGCATATGAAGCGATGCGAAAAAAGGCCTTAATGTATTCTCTTTCTTTGATGTCCAATAAGTGCTGCAAAAAAAAGAGCATGAAGATGCATCCTTGCCAATGTCCATGGGTTAGTACTTTATCCAGGCTCTTCATAATTTTTTCCTTAAGGTTCTAATTGCACCCAGTGCCATCATCTTCTCCCCTTAACCCTTACCCTAAATCAAATCAAACCATCCTAAAATTTAATTAGATGGCAGATACTTAGGTTGATTGTAAACTCTTTTAATAGGGTTTGAATCCAGCTATTTAGCTGCTTTTTATTGAATATCTCATGCATTGTCTTGCCAATTTTTTTTTTATTTTCTGTAACCAGGGCAAATATGGGAATGAAATTCAAATATCCATTCAAATATCTCATTCATCCAAGGGGAATACCACTCATGAAATTGTCGATGGAAGTTCAAAGAAGAAATGATCCCTTGTGGCTTGTGTGGCTAAAAATGTGTCACATGCGAGTCATATCGTGCAGGACATCACAGGAAATCACGGTTTGCATTCTTTCGAAGAGAACCTCTATGCCGTCGGGGGAGAGAAAACTCCTTCAGATGAAGTTTTCGATGGGGTGGAATGGAAGGTACTGGCAAACTTGGACTGTGAGAGGGCCTGTATCATGGACTCGAAGGCCGATTCATTTCCTTGGAATGAAGTGGTCCATATCTGTAATTCCTTAATCCACTGCGCAATTGCCACTTTGAAGTCCCTAATAGCCATCTGCAAGAGCAAGCGTCATTTAAAGTTGCTCGAATTCCCTGCTGAGATTTCTTTGCTCGTCATCTTTTCTGATAAATTTTCCTAACCCCTAATGAATGATTGCTATTTGTTCCCCCTGTGGCCAAAGCGGGGTGTTATTTGCAACTTAAGAGTCAAAATTTCACCAATAACCTTATTTCCTTCCTCGGCCTTTTCACATCCCTCTCTCTAAGGTAGACTTTTTTTTCTTCTTTTTTTTCTGAAGGTTTCACACAGGATTCCTCTTGAAATGTATTGAATGTACTTACTTCGACTTTCTCTTTATCTTCGGAAGCGGAAAAAGATGGGCTAGGACTATTGCGACCCGTGACATTTAGAAGTCCAAGCCTTTTGCTCTCGCGTGATACAGTATCTGCTCAATTAGACTTCTTGGAAGAAATTATTCCCACCCTGACCGCTAAAAGAAAAGGATAATAAGAGAAATTACAAAATAACAAAAAATATGACTGATAAAGGTGCAGAGGTAATCCCACAACATCGACAGTGGTATGGCCCCTTCTTCATTGCACAAACGAGTATGCAAAGGAGTAGATCCAATATCATTAGCAGTGCACAACTGCACCACAGAGATGACAGAATTCTAAAAGAAAGGGACACATGCCAATTCATTCCTGGAAAGAATGGAACGCTAAGTCCACTATCACTCACTTCTTGCCCATTTTCTTTCCCTCTTTTACTCCTGAAGAGCAGAAAGTATATAAAAATTCTGAGTAATTTTCCTCCCTTTCCCCTCTCGTCAAAGTATAAAGGGAGTTACCGTTTAAGAGTGTAGGCGTGCACAAGAACTGTATCTGAGGGGGTACAATTCACCTTGAAGGAATTTTTTTATCCCAATAGGAGCAGCCCAAAAGTGACCGCGTCCCACGATAGCCACATATGCTTTCTCCTCAGGTAAACTCCAGTTTGAACCTGGACCTCACCAAGGTGGCACAGACGAGAATGGTATCCCCTCTCCCGCGGATGGAGAAACGCGGGATGGCGACTTGTGAAGGCGTCGAACCCATCTCAACAGAAAAGCCTCCGCTTCCTTTGCACTATATTTTACCATTCACAGTTGTCAAGTTTTCGACAGTTGTCAAGTCAAGTTGTCAAGTCAAGTTTTCGGTAAACATGTAATGAGCAGATCAGACAGAGAAACTGCTATTGGCAAGGAGAGACTTTTACTCGAAACAGATAGCCTTTACCAAGGCACGTGAAACAAACCGAACGTTTCCTCCTGAAGCCAGGTAATTAAATTTGGCAAAATTAATTTTAAGATGATTTAAATCCCCCTCAGTTTCACAATCACGAATTTTCAATGGTTCTTTCATCACTTAAATCGATTCCAAAAATAGCAGAAACTGAAACTGACTCAATTTTTAATTTTCCTCTCAACATCACCATCAAAGCTGCACTTACGAAGAATGCAGATTTTGGTGAGAAATGCATCGAGTAGAGCTAATATACTTAAGACATGCCACATTCAGAAGTCCAAGGCTCCTATTCCTCTCGCGTTATACAGTATCAGCCAAACTAGATTTCTATGGAAGAAACGATAACATGACAGCTCCATGACATCTAGAAAAAAAAGACGAAAACGGAAATAACGGAAAGCACGAGAGTCCACCAGTGAAAAGTGTTTGTGATGCTTGTGTAACAAGTTGGGTTGGAACATTTGAGACACGTCACATTTCATGTCCAAGGCAACTTTCTTTTAGCTTTATATCTTCATCGGCTGAATTAGATTTCCATGGAATAAATTATTCTCTCCATAAAAGCAAGATAAAAGGGAAAACGAAAATAACAAGAGACACCAGGGCGCACAAGTGAAAAATGGTGATAATCTCGAACATGGTAGCCAGGTGTCCAATCGCAAGGACGATCGATCCTGGTTACCTGGGTGACTAAAGGCGCGACTCATCACGTCGATGGATTCGGGTCACTATAAGGAGAAGCCTGGCCCCATCCTAGTTCGAGAGGCCATGCTGCAGTTGAGGTGTCGCATGACCATGGTCGAGTGAAGTGAAGTAAGCTCATGCCTACGATCGGGTCTACGATGATACGATTCCTTTTTCGACGTGTGCTCGTTCTAGGTCCGTCTTCTTCCCTATACATGAGCGGGTTCTGCACCATTCGAATCGCATCGTCAAAAAAAAACATTTCCGTCTGGCATTTCTTATCCATCACCAACAGTGGCCCCTACGTCAACCTCTGACTCTAAGCCTGGACATAAAAATAGATCTGTGATAACTTTCTTCGATTGAATATTCTAGGTCTTCATCCCGCATCGGTTCCGTAAACTGAAACGAGACACATCCGGACGTAAGCCCTCGAAACCCAGGCATGGCCCTATCCTCGTTGTGAGATGACCTACGCTCTATCACATATGCACGAGATGTGCACTTACTGAGGCTCTTCTTAGTAGATGGTCTTTCGAGATTGACAAAATTTACTCATCAACGTTCAAATGTAAACATTTTCATTGGATGACGCCAATTTCATGTAAAACACAATGGATTTCTACATCATTTCACCGATCTTTCCTGATTTTTGTTTTTGCTCCTCCACATTCGATTTATTCTTCGCTTTCAAAAGTGTCAAAATCAACTTTGAAAGGTCTGCATGAACGAAATCCTCTTTCATAACCATGTTATCACATTCTGAAGGCATTGAAACCACTTCATTTCCGATTCAATTCGCATTTAGAAAAGTCGGTTTTCTTTCACATTATGACTAAGAACTATTAAATACAGCATCGCCCGCGTTTTCAGAAACACATATGTCACATATTCAGGCTGATTTATTGGGGTTTATTATACTGCAAGGAATTTGTGACTTTGCTCCATCTTTTCTTGGATTATCAGACTGCTCTATAATAACCTGCACTATTTTTACATATATTTTCTCTTTAAACATGAGAAGGGAGAAACAGAATGATTTCCCAATAGTCCAACGCAGTACGTCTCTTCGTTATTTCCTAATTATGCAATATTTGCCTTTTGACAATTTTTCTATGTTTCGTAAATTAGTTTACCAAAGGATTTTCAGGTATTCTCGCATCAATTATTTAACGAATGTAACATTGTTTTATTGGTTAATTACCACTTTTGTAACAAGTTTCTATTTTCATCCAAAGTGAAGGCGGACGCACGCTTAAAAACTGATTCCAAACGTTTAAATTAATAACGAAGGTAATAAAAATTTAGCATACCCGAAAACCTCTCAGTAAATTAACTAATGACGCACCCTGTAATTCCCTTCTAAAAGTATCATTTCCTGATGTTTTAAATACATTCTTAAAATTCTCCTTCTGAAACTGGCAATTCGACAACAAGCAATAACTCGTAGTAACTTCAGAAAGTCTCTCTGTGATTTGATTCCAGGGTCTACTAATTTCCTGCAAATATTTAAATTCAATAGAGTTCGAGGAAAGTGGAGTAAAATCGAACACCTGAGGAGAATCTGCCTTGTGGGCCAGGAATTCCAGCCGTATTTTAAATTGGACCATGGCGGAAACGAAGTGGGACAACGGAAAGCGTGCTAAAACCGAAGTCACGTATCGAATTCTCGCTGAGGGTCTCGCACTCAGCTCAAAAGAGCAAAACGACCTCTGTGACGTCATCATCCAAGTGGAAGATGCATCTTTCTATGGAAGCCGCTTCGTGCTCGGCTCCGCATCGCCAGTCCTCAAACGGATGTTCCTCGACGACATGAAGGAGTCTCGGAGCAAAATTGTTTCCTTGAAAGGGGTGTCGAAGGAAGGATTCCAGGTCGTCTGGGACTTCATCTACGACGACAGGTATGGTACAAAGGAAGAAGACGTTGCCCTGGCAGTTCTCATGGATGCGCACCATCTTCAGATCGACTCCTTATGCGAGGAATACGCAGAGAAACTGAAGGAAATGTTGAGAGTGGAAAATGCCTTCCACTTTCTCGCCGTCGCGGAAAAACTGGACGCCAGAGCGTTGCAAGATGCCGTCGTGGGATTCATCGCCCGCAGTTTCCACGAGATCATCTCCACCCCGGATCTTCTCTCCGTGTCCTTCGACACGCTGAAAACGGTCTTGCAAAGAGACGACGTGGAAGTGTCTTCGGAAAAGGACATTTACGAAGCGGTAAAAAAGTGGCTGGACCACGACCCGCAAAGGAAAGAACACGCGAACGAACTCCTCGATCTCGTGAGACTTCCCCTATTACCACCGCGTTATCTTCAACAGCATATCGATCGCGATCCCCTGATCTTGGGGAATCCGCATTGTTGCGCCCTCGTTATGGAAGCGTATAAGTTCCACATCGAGGAATTAAGAGAAACCGTCCCCGTCGAGAAGGCGAAGGTCCGCGGGACCGACTGGACCCACACGCTCTGGTGTGTAGGGAGACGCAAGAAAGAAACCAACATGTTTTCCATCGGTCTTCGGGACTGGTCTCCTCGCGTCCTCACCTCCTATCCGTGTCCATCCTTTTCGCCTGCTTTCTCGGCGGTGGACAGGATGCTATTCGTGACGGGCGAAGGAGCGATGAAAACGTTCGACTTGGCGAAGAGAGTGTGGGAGAACGGACCTCCGCCTTCCGAGGAAGTCACCTTTCCGGCCCTGGCCGTCGGACTCGACTCCATCTTCGTCTCCGGCGGTCATTTCTGCGCAGACGACTCGAAAAAATCCAAATCCGTGAACCGGTTCGACTTAGGCTCGTGGCGATGGATCGAGTCGCCGGACATGAAGTACGAGCGCGGGGCGGCATCGGCCGTGTTTCTCGATTCCTGTCTCCACGTCGTCGGAGGGTATCCAGCTCGGAACAAGCACGAACGCCTGGACCCGAGGACCGACACGTGGACCGAGCTCGGCGAATGGCCAGGAGGCGGCTATTGCCCAGGCATCGCCGTCCACGACGGTCAGATCCATCTGGCTGGAGGTTTCAGCGGGAACGATCCCGAGTTCTCTCACGTGCACGCCTACGACGCGAGGACGAACGAGTGGCGACTCCTTCCTTCCATGAACGCCAACCGAGGAAATCCCGGTCTCGTCTCGTTCGAAGGGAATCTCTACGCCGTCGGCGGAGACAAGCCTCCTTCGGTCGAAGTTTACGACGGCGCCAAATGGACTGGCGTGCTTTTGGTGCTTGACGGCATGGACGCGTGCGAGAGGGCCTGCATCATGGAGTTCACGGCCGGCTGATCTCCGAACGATCGAGTCTTCTTCCTTTGCAATCCCAAAAGCGATAAGCAATTACCACTATGAAGGTTCTCCTGAGCCATTTCCAATGGATGTCGCACTCGCGATAGATCGGGTTCCCTGCTCGTGTTTCTTTGCTGGTTCTCTTTTCGTTAGTCTGATTTCCATATTTTCTGCTTCTGTGGGTCCATTCTTTTCTTACATGCTACTCTGAGTTGATTGCCACCACGGTCTGTCCTCCTTTGCTCTTTCCTTTTGCTTCCTCTTTTTCTGCTATTTTGTTCTTTGACAAAGTTTCAAACGGAAACTCCCGCCTAATTTACGCTAAATCAACCTACGTGCCACGTTTTTCATGGGAACAAAAGCAATCTTTTCTCGAAACTCATTCTTCGCTTAAGGACGATCATGGAAAAGGAGATGCACGTGATATCTATCCCATACCCATCGTCAGAAATGGATTAAGAATTGTGCGCCATTGTCTTGAAAATAAAGAAAATGCGATCTTCACAGACATCCGGTGAAATATTTAACAAAAAAATTTCAATGGAAGATGAAGACATCCTGAGATCATTCCTCGTTCCACGGCGATGAGAATCATCACTGAGTGGTCTATAGGCAACCAAGGTCAAGCAAAGCCAATACTTTTCAGCATTTCAAAGTTATATGGCATGCGTGGTTCAGAACATGGCATTTTGGAGTCGCCTGACCGTTCGAGACTGAAATTGATTACTTTAAGGGAATTAATGGAGTCTCATCATCATCAAGTATTTACGAGGGAGCTTCTCATCGTGCCGATGACATAAATCATCTTTTTTTAACGTGCGCGAAATGTATGAAGAAAATAATTAAATTGGACTTGGAATTGAAGTAGCAAGCGGATTGTTCGCCTCTTTCAGCCCACTCCAACCTCAAGGTTTCTCCCATTTACCGTATCGCCATTGTAACTTTTGGGCTTATTCTTCGTGGTTTTGCGATGGAAAACGTTCACTCCGAATGAAAGTCATCGCCATCTGTTTCACTCTTGGATGGAAATGAAATTCGTGAGAAGTCGGAAACCATTCCACAGATAGCGTCGAAAGAACGCGGCGGCAAGATTTTGCGACTTGGATTATCGACTGGGGAGAAGGAAAAAAAGAGGCCGAGAAACAGCACGAGGGAAATTCACATTTCTTCACTAATTCACGAACAGCATCATGATTAGGAACGAAATGCAAAGGTTTTTCTCTCGAAAGAGTAGTCCAGAACGTGGGCGTGCCGAGGGGCTTTGGATCTCCCGTCAATCTTTAAACATGGCTTTCGAGACGGGTCGACGACGATCCGGACGGAAGCCCCACAGAGTCGGGTGCGGTGGGGCTTCGGTGCCCCAGTGTCCACCCGAGTGCCTCGATGACGAGACGCCGGGCCGGAGATTACCCGCCTGCACGCAGGGGTAAGAAGATCCTCGACCCCGGATCCGGCGATGGGGACGGGGAAGGGCATCCCTCGTCCACCGGGTGGCTCAGGAGTCCCCGCGCCATCGCTTACATGAAGAACTTCGTCTTCGTCAATACGGCTCTCATCTACGTCTTCCTCGCTTGGCCCTATCTTCTCTCTTCCCTCCGCGCTCTTTTCGAGTCCCTCTCGGAACCGTACGATGAACTCGAGAGCGTCGCAACATTTGGTACCGGGTACGTCTTCCTCGATCCTCTCTCCCTTTCGCTATACACCTCGCCTTCCTCCATCGAATCCCTACGTTGTTTTCCCTTAAATGCTTCACGTGACAGAATAGTATGTCACTGTGCTGCGCAGCTTTCAAATCTTGGCAAATGTGTGACCTTATCGTAGGAAGTAGCAATAATGATTTCTGTCTCGATTCTCTTTGCAGTGATGCAACTCCTGGTTCATGAAGTCAGTTGCCATTATCATCCCATACCCGACATGACCCCAGCAGGAAATTCTCCTAGAGCTCTTCCACAAAAACCGACAATTTCCCCATTCAAGATAAGTGACTGATCGTAAAACGTGCTGGGACGTCGTAAAAACAGAAAAAGTTGGCAACTGAAAATGTCTTCATTTCTTCATTCAGCACATAGCTGAGGCTGACTGCTCATACAGACAGGTGAAGTCAGGTCAAGTTGGTGGGACAGATTAACACAGTACAGAAATCAGAAAATAAACAAAACATGACAGCACAACATACACATGGGCCATGAGTGGACTTAATAGTTGAAACCGCCTCCATACCCTCGGTTTCCTCCTCCTCCTCCCGAGTAACCACCGGGACCTCCACCCATACCTTCAACAAAAATCACAATATTCAATATAATGCAATCACAAGCAACAATTGATAACTAAAAAAAATTGTTCACTAGGGTAAAGATGTGATCCAGAAAAGAACCATCGAAAGACCATGACCTTGGGTCTCACATGTACCTGGATTTGGATCTCAAGTTTATCTCAGTGCTCTTCGATGGCAGATGGAATCTATGTTGTCCAATCGACCTGACGTTGGCACTGACACCCTGGAGCCATTTCTTAGCATTCTTAGACATTTTCCCTCCTTGCATAACCCCAAGGAAAGATGGCTTAAGCCCGCCGCATACGAGGCAATTTTTGTTGCTCGACCGATTCATATGAACCCCCTGGGGCACACGGAAGAATCTGGAAGCAATGTGATTGGTCGATGCTAGAATTATGGCCGGCCTACATCGCAGTACCCCCGTGCACGGAGCAATAGTCGAGCGACGGCAATATTTATCGTAGGAAAACTGAGCATGGAGCAAAAATCGTGATGAACGAAGGTCGCGCGGCAAAAATTTCCTCGTGTGCGGCGAGCTTTAAAGATGAAGGAAGTAGTTTTAGCACACTCACAACCTAGCGTCAAGGGATCAGCCATCTGTTCCTTTAAAAATATTTCAGCTAAGAGCAAAACATTTTCAGCATACCTTCACAATACGTACGCTATAGATATCACGAAATAAATGTTCCTTATCGGAATGCTTGCGCAATATGTTGCGCGAACAGCAATGTGTTGCGACTCAAAGGAGCAAACTATCATTCATTTGCATATAATGCAAAAAGAAACAGAAATGGTGACGTTTATAGAACATTTAAGAACGACTCACCAACCTTCTCGAGTGGATATGGCTTTCTGTTCATTGTTAAAAATTCCGCGTCGCGGGCACAACAAATTGAAGTCGGAAGAAAAGTTCTCAGTTGATTCAGAGACAAGACGATTCCTGCAAGATTTTATCCTGGACGATCGAGAAATGTTGATGGAGTCTGTCTCACTGCTGTTTCTTCAGCGCTTTTATTTTTAGAATGGCATATTTGCAGAAATTGTCAAAGCACAATCTGTGCATAAGGAAACTGTAATGTTTCCGTGCTCGCAGAAAATGAAATCAAGTTACTGAGAACCAAGCGGCACGAAATGAAGTGAAACGAGGCATACCTGGCCCTTTGTCAATGGGAGAATCATCCCATAGTCGTCCTCCACCGCCCATTCCTGCTCCGCCCAACCCGGGACCAGTTGGGCCCGGCCCTGGAGGTCCTCCGAATGACTTCCATCCCCCTATATCTTCATGCGAGCCAGGAGACAACGTATTACAATAAATACCTGCACGTGCAATCGACCCGGAGACCACACTAACAGGAACAAGCAGAATATACTCACTTCGGTTTGGAGCTGGATTCATCGGCATGCCCATATCACGGTCGTCAAGTCCTCGACCCATATTCCCTGGGCGAGGGTTGCCCCTTTCTGGGGTGGAATCAAGGAAGAGCTCAATGTATCGATGACCCATCTGCTCCTTGTCCTAAAAACAAAAAGTAAAGCCACAAAAATTGAAGAACGCTGAATCGACGTCGAGGCAAGCACAAAACTTCGCCTCGAGTTGAGACTGAAACCAGTTGCAGAACCCCACAAGAAAAGGAAAATAGAGACGTTTACTCCTCGATTCTCGAATAGCAATGTTTCCCGTGCGCATAGCTGGGTGAGGTTCAGGATTCTTTAATAACCTGGTCGATAATCTACTATGGAAGACAAAAATAGCCAAATCGTTTCTGATCCTCAAGCTAATGCTGGATTATGATAAAGCCACCTATATTTTATCCAACATCCCATTCAGGGATTCCAGTGTGCTGTTCAAGGAAAGTCGCAACATACAACAAATTCAGAACAAATTCTGGCAACACCGAAATCCTAGCGTTTTCCGGTTCAACTTCCTTAATACTCGTTTAAAATTTCGAAAGAGAAACGTCAATTGCAACGATAGCATTTTGGCATCCCGATCGATAAGGGGCCATACATTTAGCTTAGCTTCTCCGCTGCCAAGGAGAGGAAACTTGGCTCGGTAAAGACACAAGGAGTCAGAATTCTTCATCTTCCTTCCCCCTCATCAAGCCACCTTAATTACCTGCGAAATTCCAGGGGAGCGCGCGCGTGAAAGTTGGTGATGAGAGAAAAGGGGAGCGTTGGAAAGCAAGTGCTCACGTTTTAATTGGCAAAGTGATCCCAGCTCCACATTCTAACATCTCATATCCGCCTTTCTGTCAGCACAAAGCAGGTATAAGATAATAAAACTTGTCAACAAGCTCATAAAACGGGTTGACTGTTACGAAACGCAGTTTTAATGATCCTCGCCTGATACGAGAACATTATTTTTCCCCCTTTATTCATTTCGTTTTAACGAGTTTCGGCTGTACTGGGCTACATCTCGTGCATCGATAACCTTGCTTCCACACTTTCCTCGCATGACTTCCGGTTTCGATATGCCTGCACCAATTCCGAACAGAAACCACGAACACTCTGGTTTGCCTCAGATTCCGAAACTCCTTCAGTATTATGTGATGGTTTGACAGTAGCGTAATACTCCATTTGTTGCCAACGCATTACGTTAAGGAAAAATTGTCTCTTGTTTAAAAGAACATTTCAATAGTATGATTGATAGGAAACTCACACGAGCAACGGCCTTGGCCGCCTCTTCGTGGCTCGCAAAACCGACATCGGCCTTGCCCGACGGTCGACCCGACTTCTCGTAGTCGATATCGATGAACACAGGGACCAGGGGCTTAAAGAACTGCATCACCGAACAATGAAAAACACCATGAAGACATATAGACGTAGATGAGATGCGAAATAAAGCAATTGCCTCAATTGTAAATCGAAGTATGAAAATGTACAACTGCCAGCTCGTGCAAACACATGAAGATTACGTTAACACGGATACAAATTAAACAGGTACTCTCATTTTCTAAGCTAACATAAAACTGAGTGCAAAAGAACTGGACATAGAGGAGGACTCAGCGTCTGCCTTATGGAGTGTCAGCATGACAGAAATTATTCTGTTCAGCTGGAGATCAAAGTTCCATTCACATCACAGTCCAACCTGACTCTCCGGTCACTATAATTCCAGTTTTAACAATAACGCACATAGCCTTTTCATTATTAAATAGTAACTAATAAAACAGTTTTGAAGAGGCGAGGCAGGGATTCGTCCCTGTTACTGGATTCGAAAAATGCATCACTGGCACAAAACGTAACTCACATCTGCAATGTCGGCTTCTGTGGCACGGAATGGGAGACCCCTCATGTGGACTATGTGCTCCTTCCCACCTGGCCCTCGCGGACCGTCGTCGTCCCAGTCCTTCCCCGCCGGGCCGGGACCACCAGGACCCGCGGGGCCGGGACCCATCCCGTACGGCTCCATCCGGTCCCGGGGACCGGGACCCCACGGCTCCATTCGAGACGAATCTCGTCCGCCTGGACCCCAGCCGTTGTCGTAGTCTGAATAACCACCTAGACGTAAGTTGCATATCTCTCAGACTTCATGCACACTAAATATATGAGATCGTGGGAATCAATCTGGGTAGGAGGACTCAGAGTCTGCCTTATGAGGTGTCAGCATGACAGACATCAATCTGTTCAGCTGGAGATCAAAGTTCTATTCACATCACAGTCTACCATTAATTGGTCATCACAATTCCCAGTATGAGCAATCAATTCCTTCCATTACATATGATGAATATACTAAAGAAATGATACTTCAACGTTCACAACTAAAAATATGCACAATTCATGAGGGGGAAAAAAAAAAACTATTTATAAACGCCTTAGCGTTTCGATTCCGAAAAGAACCAAGAACCACCTTTCACCTGTCATGAGGATCAAATTCCCCAAGAGTAAAAAGGCATTAAAATTAAGAATGTACTCAAACTTGTCCATATGATTGGAAAACAAATGCATAAGGGAGAATGCCACAGGGTTACAAAATTAGGAGAATTATAAATGGGAAACTAAGAGTCAGTTTCCCCGCTGGATACAGGCTGCGCAACCAAATATAAGGATGATAGGTCGAGAGCAAATGAAGCCTTGCTACTATATATTTTCCCTCAATCTTACATTTTTAGTCGAGATGGCGATCCAATTGGAACTCTTACATGACAACTTTAGTGTCAACAAATTGCAAATAAAATGCATACATGATGGAGAGTGCCTGCACAATGCACAATCAACACAGGGATGGTATCTGTTTCCAGCCTGGGGGGTCCACCTCCCTCCTGATGGAGGAAGTGTTTACACGGGGACAGAGGCTTCACGGGGGCAATGAAGCAAGGGTGAAGGAAGGGGAATGCAATGTGTAAGGAGAGCATGGGAAAGGTCCATAGGGGCAAGGCACTCTGGAGTGAGGATGCGCCCAACATGTACAATGCCCAATCAATGCATATATCCTGCCTTGGGGTTGTGGTTGTGGTTCTTGAGCGCACCATGCACATCTGTCCCAAGTGAAAGAACCTTCAGCAATGTGGGGTACATCTGACGAGAGGATGGTGGCAAAAATACCAAAAAGTACAATGTAGATACGAACTAAATCAGGCTCAGCTGAGCAACAAATCAAGATGGTTTCGTTAAGTCATTTAATACATACATGTTGGCCAAATGTCATATTGGATATCAGCTGCAAACATAGGGGAAGAAAATAAAGGCCTCCAGAATGGCTCCAGTCCTCTGTGTCGCAATTAGTGCTTCCCTGTTATAAACATTTCCCCTCCCCCTCTTGTTACTGGATCAGTGGGATTCCATTACAGGTAATTACAAAATTTTATTATGGCACTTTGCTCTTGGTCTGTGTCCTGCAATGTTATGAATAATCCTATTATAAAAAATTAAAGACCTCAAAAGGTCAGCACCTCTCTAATCAAACTGCAGATCTCCCATCCAAGCACAGTACCCACATTCAGCTGACATTTTTTTTATTGGAGGCATGTCCTTCCCCTCTTCTAAAACAATAAGATTTATTTCAGATTTCTTAGTTTTCTACCTATAAAATGAAACTGGAATTCTTCAAATCACTGCACTATCAGGATGTGACATTGGAAGAGATGCTTTCAACAAAGTTATGTCCCCATCATACAACTCTGAAAATGAAGTCTTGCAAACTGGGACGATTTTTAGGAAGACCTAATGCCCGCCAAATAATTGAACAACTATGAACATTTGACATCACTTTTCTGGCATCAGTTTCCCATATTATACATGCCCCACCCACTCCCGAACAGCTGAACGAAGGTACTTCGTACGAACTAAGGGAACGAGCATAGAATACACTCCAATAAGTGATAGATGCAGGAAACAGAAACATACCTCCGCCACGCATGGGAGGGCCACCCATATTAGGACGCATGGGCCCACGAGGCATTCCACCTCCAACCATCCCGCCGCCTCGCTCTCCAAAGCGATTCATCCCTCCGAACCGATTTCCAGTGTCGTAGGGTGCCGGGCGATTGGGGAATGCCAGTGGGGATCGCATCTTCGGCCCCACCGCCGCCTTCAACTCCGAAAGGTTGCTTCGGAAGATCTCGATATACCTGCGAGTGGCCCCAAATGCACGGTCAACAAACAGCCAGAAACATCCAGCTGTTGAGAAGCGAACGCATTCGGCGCCTCTCCAAGTCCAAACATCGAGTAACAATGCAACTGCGACGTTCATGTGGGAGTTTACACCAAAGAGGGTCAAGAAAATTCTCTATAAAGTGTTTCCTTCACCACCTGTTCCTTTCATTTTACTGTTTTTCTGCTTCACCTCTGTTAACACATTGAAAGTACTAGCAAATTCAGGCTGGGCAGAAATGCAACCAGAGCGATCAATACTGAGGTTGTCCTCCACTGGATATTTCAAGAAGTATTGCAACTGTTGACAACCATCAGATAAAGCATAACCATACCTGAAGCAGTTGTAGATCCTCTTCCATTATAATTATTTCAAGAGGCTTCTATCCACATTTTCCTAACCATTGCTAAAATTGCACTTCTTATCCTTCAATTCTATTGTTTTCCGGGTTCAATTCTTCAAAACCAAGCCGTTTGTGTTCTATCTCAAAATTATGCTTTATCCTCGAGTAGTGTGATTACTTCAAAGTACCCAGAGAAAAACCTGTAACTAGAAGTGAGCCACACATTCTTTTCCTTGTAGCACCATCGAAACTTATGTCATATAACGTCATATCATAACAGAAGTCAGGAGTCATGATGTAAGAAAGGTCAATGGTCACAATACTATTTTAACATAATAAATATAGTGAGTCTTCCTCCTTGTACATTAAACCCATCACCTTACTTATCTTTGGCAAACCAGATTCTAGCAAATACATTGCATAAATTACTCCAAGAATTAATCTTCAAACTCGGACCACCTCCAATGCAAACTGCCCTCCTGACTGCACCAGTTTCACTTGAGAGTTAGGAAATGGTTTGGAATAGATATACATAAAGGTCACCTCCTTGTTTCCCTCTTCGCTGCTGCCTGGGCATGAAATGTCTTAACATGATCATCCCAGAGAGATACCTCCATTTAGAGCAAAATCCCAATGAAGGGTTACATGCACTGAATCAGTTTAAGCTCAACTAATTTAAGACCTCACAATGGCCCCATGTGGGAATCAATTTAACTGAGATAAACTTCTTCTCATAGACATCCATTATAATAATAAAAATATATCAGTTTAAATGAATCTGGTGCATGTCACCTAATGTCTGCTCCCGTGACATGAAACCTGATGTATTATTTAAAAAAACAGTAAAATGGAATGAAAAGGTGGTATTTTCTCATTTCAAACCCTTAGCTGGTCTGGAAAGAGAATGCCAAGAAAAACTATAGTCCTTGATAACCCAAAATTACAGGCTCTTCCAACTCTTGAATTCAAGTTTTGCCAATGTTTTGTAGTCATGCGGTTTGGTATGAAGGTTTCCTACTTTTATCTCTTCAACAAGGTATCAAACTAAATCAATATGAATATCTTTCCAGAATATTGGTCACACTCATTCTACAGTTCGCTACCACTACTCTACCGACTCAACAAAAGAAAGTTTTCAACCCATCCATGATATAGTAGAATGGAACCATAAGACTTTGTGGGGATAATGGTGGATACAAGGGATGATAAATGAAAGGGAGAAGGGTGGGAGAAAAAAAGCGACGAGACTGCCTCCCCGTCCCGGCCTGCGGCTCTCTCCCGGATCCCCGCCGTCCCTCCTCCTCCTATTCCTTCTCAAAATCCTCCATACATTGATCACACACATGAAGACCCTCCCCCCATCCAGAGGGGTTTGAGAAACACATGCAAGCATGATAGAACCCACCCAGCCGTTGCAATTAGTTCTCCCACCTGGGCCCTATGCATTCTTTGTGTTTCTTCAGTGCCTTCTCGGCAATGTCATCATTGGCAAACTGTACGTAAGCCTCCCCCGTCGCCCGCCCAGTGTAGTCGGCCACAAGGTTTATCCCGTTCGGCACTATCTCCAACCCTGGACAGCCCACGAACAAATACCAGAAAGTAATATTCCACCCACACACCCACACTCCTACATCGTCTCAGCCCACGAGACAACTGCAGAAACTGGAATGAACAACAAGCCCACTTCAGTCCACTCTTCCTCCTGAAAAGCACTGGTCCCATGTCCAAAGACAGCTGTCACCATAGGGCACAATCCAATTTTTTTTTAAGTTACTCCTAATCATACCTTTACTACATACTTCACTCAAATAACTATTCCGTAGAAAGTCATGAGATACCACAGATAAAATCCTATTACATTGTAGAACCATAATTAACTTAAAGCTACTTAGCAGTATTTCTTTGAATTTTGTACTATTGTTCCATGACAGCAAACACTTCTAAAATAAAAACTAAGACAACACATTGTGGATAGGTCACAAGAATTTCTGCATTTTGCCAATGGATGCTGAGGACAGAAAATGGAGAACTACCTTTATATGCATCATCTCTTTGATTTGCAAAAAGATGTACTTTGTCAAATAATGTGGTTATTTTTTAAAATTGTTCTAAAATATCCGGGACGGACAACCATGGCTCTCCACATGACACGTCCGCAATGTGTTATTAAACTTGCCCCTCAACCATACAGCTGTCCCATCAAGGACAAGAAACCAATGCCTCATGAGATTGTAAAAGCCAAAGAGACCCTAGGCCTATGCCTATAACACATCAGACCCAGTATTGATCAATTAAATACCACCAGAACAGTTGATAGCGTCTTGACATTAAATCAAATCACACACCACACACTTCCAGTCAGAAACAAAAATACCTGAGTGTTTTTGTCTAATAGAGATCCCTTCCCACAAATACAAGCATGCTTACTTCAAACTACTCAGAGCTCATGAACGTACCTGCAAAGAAATTTGCAACTTCCTCCTTTGTACAACCGAACGGAAGTCCCCTCAAACGAACACAACCATCCTGCTGGTAATTGGGTCCACCGTACTGCCGCTTCAGCGTCCAGTCCATCTCGTTCCTCTTTGTCGTGTATACTGCAATGTGGAAGGAAACACGAGGGCAATTCATTAGATCTAGGCCAATGCCTAGCAACTTCGGCACATATTAAAAGTAGGCTCACATCTGCTTTAAAGTTGCGCATCGCTCAAATTTAACCGTGCGCAATGCAACCATTGCCCAGATGACTTCGCGCAGCGAAGGAAAATAAACGCTTAAAATCTGCTCGACCGGTCTCAGGATGAGTGTGCGTTACACCATCAAGAATTTCTCCTGTGATATGCCCCATAGCAGCCTTGCACGCATAAAAGCCCAACATTCCATTACGCCCTGACTCAGGGAGTCTATTAAGTTACACCTGTGGAACATCGTGTCGTTCGTTGGCGATAGTCATTTTTGAATCGTCCTTCACAAATCCACCATCATAATCAATGCCACCGCGTTTATTGCGATTAAGGTCAGAGGGAAAACGCAAAATGTTAATTTTTTCATTCCAATGGACGAGGTGAACAGCCAGTCCCGCCACAACGTGCAATGAGCGATTATACCAATAGAAAACTTATTTCTACGTTCTTTGTCTCCGTTCGGGATTCCCCGACGCGACGACAGCAAACGAGATATGGATGAAAAGCCCCCTTCAACACACTCAATGAGGAACACGTGACTTGTCTCTCAGGATTCTCAGTAGAGAGAGATCGATGAAAGAGGGGCTCTCAAAGCCGGTCGCTTCTCGAGCGTTCGGATTTATTTTCATTGTAACTGCGTATTTTCATCGATAAGTAATGAGGCGTGACAAGACTACATAAGTGGTATCCATATAAGTACCATCTATGACAACCTTGAATATTAATTGTGATGCCGGTAGCGGTATCGGTGTGCATATCTGGATATTTATTTAACGAGTGTAGAATGATTAGGCAAACCTTGGAAGGATGCGACATTTCTTCTTCTTCCACTTTTCCGCGACCGAGAATTACTTCCTCCGATCATTTCTAAAATCACAATTTCGTCTATCCCCCCCTCGTCATGAGGGCACAGGTTTTTTTTTTTTTTTTACCGCAGTGACTCGTGATATGGCGGAATATCCGGTGGAAAACGTCGACCTAAAAAGAACACGAACATGTTCTAAATGAATGGATCCACGTCACACCTAACGAAAGCATTAACATAACCTATCCCTCTTGCTGCCCACCCAATCACGACACGGAACGCGCTCCACCTCCTTCGCTCTTACCAAACTGCCTACGCATGTGGCATTAAGGGGGGACATTGCTGTCATCAGCTTTCCTCTCATGGAGAATGCTCAATCCGAGAGCCAACTGACTCACGAACCCCTGTGTTCAGGCCGCTGAGCTATGAAATCGTAACGGTGATGGGGCACGATGAGCTTGCAGCATGTAGAAGCCATTTTGGCAGGTATCACGGCGGCTCTCTTTTCCTACCATGAGATTTTCCCCTTTTCCCCTCTCAGATTTCTCAAAGATAGAAATGCCATGGCAATGCCGTTGCACAAGGGGCTTCACCATTCCATTTCCATTCGTTTTCTGATATCTTGCCAGAAATGTGTCAAGCGTTCGGGCCTCGAATTCCGAACCCGTTTTTGCTGGTATCGTTGGGTATATGAGGGATCTAATGTTACGTCGCCCTTACATCATCAGGGTTAGTCTACTTTACAACAGCTCGAGGGTGTGAAGTCGATCGATCGAACTTTAAATAAATGCAAACACAGGCAAGGAGCACAAAAGGCGATCACGAGGTATATTGGTAGCGGCAATAGCGGATCGGGGGGGGGGGGGAAGCCTGGTCGCCATTCATGCCATTGTTTCATACATTGAAACGTAATGCTAGTTGCTAGTTCAAATCTATTAAACAAAAAAATAATCCTAAAAGCTTAACTCGGACAAAACAGGGTAGAAATGAATCATTACACGAAGAGGCACACAGTCTCTTACTTATATTAGCAAGGACAAGTCTGGTTTCGCATTTGCTCTTGCTCTATGAAGACGCTACATGGAACAGTTTTCTTATCAACTCACTCTTCCTATTAATTATTTCCTGTTTTGAAAGTGAGCCCTTCAACTGTAAATAGCAGCATATTATTTCATTTGTAAATTCTAAATGGCTTCTCACTTTCATCTCATCGTTTTACCCTCATACCGGTTTGTGTCTCTAACTGTCAATCTTTGGCAGAGCGATGAGCTTATGGTGAATTTTGCCACTCACTAAGGGAACTTACATAGCTAGAGCCTTCTTTGGACCATTTTTCAGAGAATAAATGTATATAATATTTGTTGAAACCCTACTCACAACCTACTCAGCTCAAATCTGGTATTGGAATGTTATTTGTTTTCAATCTGATCAATGCAATTCTTGTCCCGTTCCACTACATTCCCCCACACTTGAATTTTATCTCCTTCTACAACCAATATTGAAAGACAATTATGTCCTTTGCTATTCAGTTGATGGATTTCGATATTCTTAATATTCTGACAAATACTGGGTATTTCCATACTGTTTCAGAGGAAAATAGGCTGAAGTCAAGAATTTGGTGATTCGAAATTTAATCTAAGCAGCTTCATCTCTGATTCCTACTATGTAAAGTTACATTCCTACGACCTACGACGCAATTATTCGTTAAATCCTCCACCTTGTCCAAGGATCACAGTTGTGTATCGGATACCAAACGTACTCAAATTGTTTCACCTGTTGAGTTTTCGTGTACTGACCAAATGTGGCAAGTAAAACACGATAATCTGTTTTGTCTGGCGAAAAAGATGGATAGTCTTTCTGTTCGTTTACAGAACAGAACAAGAGCACCTTACACAACGCACACGCAACTTAAATTTCCTAGGAAGAGGAGCTTCCATTCGAAAGAGATCCACATCCTACGTATGCCAGGAATTTAATATCAGCGGGTATGGAAGGGAAGAAGAAAATGGCGCCATACCCACATTCCTATCTACTCATGCAAGATGAGAGACGAGAGAAATTGAGATTCTTCCATTTTCAGACCCGCCTCGAAGAAAAATACTAATCTCGCTTTTTCCCCAATCTCCCCCTCATTCCGGAAAAAAAAAACCTATCTACCGTTTTCCGGGAAAGAGGGGGAAAATAGCAGTCTAGCTACGTTGATAACTTATCTTGTAGCGTAATAATTTTCCTCCCTCCAGCACATCCACCTTCGGCACTTCGATAACGAAGTTCAACTCCCATGAGCTCCGAAGAGCAAGGCAACAGAGGAAATAAATATCGAGGCTTCTCAGGCATCAGAACATGCGTAATTTTACGAAATCAAGGAAAGATGAGAACTGGCGTCCGGAGGTGCTCCGTAGCAAACGAGCTCGTAAATAGACCATCATGAACCCCTCGTGCCGTTTTAGCACAGAGAAGGTGTCAGTGCTGTTAGAATGTACATAGCAAAGCTTGCTGCATTTCTAAATGGGTTTTCCACGACTAGTGGCGCTTGAAGCACTTGCGTCATCGCATCCATATATTTTTTTTTCAATATTCCGACAGACGTGAACAGGCTAGGCAGGTGAAATGGGTCGACCAGCCTGAGGGCACGGACGTCTCCCATCAGCCTCTTCATTTCGTCTTATTTTTGCCAGAGAAATAATTCCTTTTAAGGGCATACAGGCTCCTCAACTCTACCCCACGACCTCCACGTCAGCCTGTCTGCGACATTAAGTCTTTAGTTTCTATATTGAAGATCCGGGGGGGAAAACAGCAATCAATTGCCATTGAGGAACGCATTTCGCACACGATTTCCATGGGCCAAGGAAAAACAGATTCTAGACGCAGCTTGACTGCTGCGTCTAGATCAGCGCAGTCAAGGAATTCATTCGATTTTCCAGTGCAATAAAAATAAAACGAAACATCCGTCGCTCAAAGTCAAATAATCCGGAATGATCGTCCAAAATTACGGGAGGAGTCAACTGCAGCTTAGAGTAAGAACAAAGAATTTCTTCGCATATGCAATGGCGAGTCAGTTATCGGGTGAAAACTCTTATTTCAATGTATTTTGTAAGCCTTCCCCACCCTGAGATGTCAAATTTTTTTTTTTTAAAGAATCGTTTCACTTCCAAGCGCTTTGCATGCCGTAATCCTTGAGTCAGATATCTAAATTTTCTTAGAACCACTGACTCATATTTCCTGTATCATAGCGTATCATATAACACTCTTGTCTAAGTTTCACATTTCGAAAGCAGTACCGAAGACTTTACTAATACAGTGAAAGCCCTTAGCAACTGCGACCATACTCTCCTCCCGGAAACAAGATTAGCATCATATGATGAAGACGCCATGGCCTGTTTACCGTTATTCACAACGGGCAAAGTTCAAGTTTATCTGTTGGCCGAGCACAAGATAAACAGGACTTATCACGTTCATACGTCAACCGGTGACAACACCCGCTTGGTTAATCAAAAGCGTCTTGGTAACTGTAAGCAGGACGAGCCGATTCGGAGTTTATAAAGTTTTTAGTAACGAATGGGATAGTTTGCATCTGGCGTAGATTACGATGGGGGCATGAATAAAAGGTCTCACCTTCGATATATCTGTGACCCATGTTCTTATGATCCTTCTCGAGGGCTTTCTTCGCGTCTTCCTTGGTCTCCATCTCGACGTAGGCCTCGCCGCTGGGGCGGCCTTCTCGGGAGAGGGTGAAGTGGACGCCGTCTTTGCCTCCCTTCACTTTCGCGGCTGCAACGAGGGATTCGTCGATTGAGAATCGGCGGGATTCGAGGATTTGGGAATGGGAATTGACTTACGGGAAAGGAACTGGATGACTTCTTCGGGCGTGGCGGACCAGGGCATGCCCCGCATGCGGATCACGTCCTCTTCCTCACTCATTTCCGATGAGAGTGACCGAGCGAATTCCCACCGAACCGAACGGAACGACCTCAAGCAATTTGGGAGCGGTCGGGATGGACTAGGGGCTTGTAACAAGTATTTAAATGCACACGTCAATCCTCTACATTTGGAAAGAAGGCCAACACCGGATGAGAAACACCTGGAGAGCCACATTTCTCCGGGCAATCACAGAACTGCACCGGATCGGGGCTCAGCCAAGTTATTTGCGCTAGGGCTAAATCAGGCTAGCCTAGCATAAATACGTACGCCCTTAAACTCCGCCTTAGAGCACCTTAAACGACCTTAAAACCTCACTGAAGAAGGCGAGAATGAAGTCACACCGGTAGCCAAGCACGCACTCCGTCCTCCATTTCGAGAATGGCGACGGGCTTCGCGGACCAATCACCGCTTGGCATTCGGCGTCTTTCTTCCCCCCGTCCGATTCTCCTGACATCTTTTTCATTTTCCTCAACTACGATTTCTCCCTCTCTCTTTCAAGATGGCAGGCATTGCAGCTAGATTCCATCGGTAAATTTTGCATTTGCATGACGGTAAATCGTAAGACAAGCAAATTTGTTGACCGTTAATGAATAACTTACTGTTTACTTTCATGGTTTTTGAAATATTTAACATGTGACATCATCGAATATTACTCATGCTCATCTTAGATGCGTTAAAATCATTTCTCTCGGAGGCAGAAAACTAAGCTGATGCCAACACATACGGACTCAGCATTACCACTCATGGACCATCTTTCGACAAAACAAATCAGTAACTTATGTTCATTAATTTTTAAAGCAAATACTACAGCAGTACAGACATGCTCAGCCCTCTTTGGATGCCTTGGAATGCATTTAGGGAGAATATACAACCCCTCTGGCTTCTCCATGGATTGTTAGTCCCTCCTCCACTAATGATATCTTTCCTGAAGGCATGACTAAGAATTGAAGCCATGAAAGTCTCGCACGAAACTTGGTTATTCTCTCTTGCGTCTAAATACTTAATATATGCAAATATATATTAAGTATAGTATATAATACTTAATACGTGAGTGAATGACGTTAAATCTAAGCATGTTTCCTATATGATGTGAAAAAATGCAAGAACCATTTTTTCAAAGCCTTTCCCTTTCTTTTACCTCCTCCCCCATCTCTACGAGACTCAGAACGTTACGCGAAGGCCTAACTCATTGCCCTCAAGTCAGGCCAGGGCTCTAACCTTTTTCTTTCAAATGATAACTTACGAGAAAACTTTCGACTTATTGGGCTCTATAAACCTTTAAGGGTCAATCCATGGTCTTCCAAACATCATAGTGGGCCTAATCATGCTCTCACGAACCATTTCAGAATAGACAATTCACTTTAGACCAGTTAAAGGGCCGTTTCAAGTTTCATGAACCAATTCAGTACGTACGTGAAATGTTAGGCCTATCAGGAGTCCCTCGAACTACCGTGACTAGATGTAAGGAGGGAATGGCGCCGAAAAGCATGATGTTCATGGTGGGCACCATCCTTCTCATTCAGGGATGTCCGAGTAAGATATCTCCATATTCCGCCACATCGATCGACCACGGCCTACTACCGTTTCAGTCTCAGTTCATCTCACGAACTCAACACAAATTGTTTCATAAATTAAAGGACAGGAGATCCAGTCGCCGATACGAAGGCCGAAGCAGTCATGAATCTGACATGACTCCAACACGATGTCTGGCAACCCTGGGAGAAGGGACTGGAACCAACACTCTGAGTGAATGACACCTAATTTCATCTTTTATGGCGAAATGGTGCCTCGTTAATAAAAAAAGGGCACTTTTCGTCATCTACAAGTCAATGTCTTTCTTATGGGTGCCTTCTTTCCTCCGAAATCTCAAGAGGAGTGGCTACGGGGGGGGGGGGGGAAAGCAAAATAAAAAACAAAGAATGAAAATCACATCTCAAAAAAGCCAGATTCAATTCTATTTGGTACCCCAGGGAGATGGAGTTTCAAATTTGCTGAAGCGATTCTGTGTCGATAAGAGGAAGAAGCGTGCTTGTTCCTCTGTTCCTGTTTGATGCTCTCAGAGAGGAACACGAAGAGGTTGAATTTCGCTACAGGAAGGGGTTGAAGAAAGGCGATAGGCGCTACGAAAGCCTATTCATGAAAATGTGAATGAATGACGTTATATATAGTTATGTTCCCAATACGACAGAAAATTGAAATTTGGTAAGCAGTTGTCCCGATTTAGTCAGGTCGTCCCAATGCTGGTTCCAATTCATATTCTTAAAATAACAAAAGACAGTTATCAGTGCATGAAATACATTCATATTCTTTTTTGGAAAGCAAGGGAAGTATTTATCAGGCGTCCCTTTTTCGCGACGCAGATTGAATTTTGAAGCGCGCCAAAACCAAGAGGATAATGGCCGCATCCATGTTTTCACTTTAGAGCGGAACGACCTCGTGGATCTTCTATTGTGTATGTCATTTATTTGTTAATTTTATTTATTATTACCATCTTTAGGCGTTTGATTTTTACAATCCCGTCTCGACGGTATTTGAACCCGAAGTTTTAGCCTCGCATGTTTTGGGTCTAGGCCTATGGTCAGATTCGGCCAAAAATGATTTTTTTTTTAGTGAAATCATTTACTGTCGTTTGGCCTATTGGCATCAAGTTATTCGGTAATAGATGAATGGTTTTGTTCTCTGCTGGTCTTTTTGTAAGCAGTTGATAAAACCCTGGATTATATCTGTGCCTTGGCGTGTCTGTGTTGCAGACTGGCACCTGCTTTCCACATTCCCAAATTTCCAACTCAAGGGAAGCATTTTCATGGAAAAAAAAAAAAAAAAGAAAAACAGGATGAACTGCTTGTTGCCCATGAATTTTCCTGGCAAGATGGCCGTTTGGAAAGCCTTTCCAGAGGAGCATCACTGTTTCATGAACTTTGTTGCTGGTGAGTGCCTTTCAATACCATATTCCATTCTTTGAGTTTCATTTTTTAGTATTTTAATTTGTGCTCTGTACAATAGCGGACCAAAATATGAGATTAGCCTAATTATTATCTTCTTCCAGTTGAATTAGGATGTAGACTTGCTAAAGAACTATTGTTCTTTCTCCAGAGTTTGAGTGCACTAATCTTTCATCTACACTGAACCTGTAAGCATTTGGACATTTTGGCTAGGGGTTTCCTGATTCAGTTACCATTTTTTTGTTCTGCCAATTTAACTTTGTTCTAGTTCAGTGGGCATTTTTGCAGCTATCAGTATGAAAATGATGATGATTTCCTAATGAAACTTAGTCACATTCCCAACTTTATTGTTTATCAGAACTGGCACTCACTAATGATGATGAACCTCTCCCAATCCCCCTTCCTCCAAAGGATAGCTGACCCTGGAGATGAAAACTGATAAGAACAGAATATGGTGAACAAATTTCTTCTGGCAGAAGGTCCTATTGGAATATAACACCTGAGGAAAAAGAGAAACCTGTTGGACTGGACTACCATGTTGAGGTTGGTTCCATCCCCGTTTCTTCTCATCTCTTGCCAAGTTCCTTATCAAATCTCAATGACACATTTTAAAAGACTTCTGTTAGCACCTCAGAAAGGTTATGTATTTTTTGCAATGTCAATGCAGTTTGCATACCTCCTTTTTTCCTTTTTGAATTATGGACCTTGTGCAAGTGCTAGAATGACTCATTAAATCTTACAGGTTTTTTTTCTTTTGTGTCTTAGATGCATGAGATAAAACAAAAATATTACAATTTCAGCTGTGATTTAAGGCCTAAGATACATTCAGCAAGAAAAAAGTATTTTCATTGTAGATTTCCTGATTTATTTTCTCACTGGGGCTATGGAGAACTCAGCAATAAAGAGATTTTACAGATGAGGTTTTGACTCAATATACCCTACATGCTGCCTTTCATTCTCTCCCTAAACAGAGGAGTGTGGAGTGAATATTATGTCATGCCCTTTCTCTGCAGAATATGCCCTGCAGAAAGTCAACTCGGAACAAGGAGAAGTGAAGTGAGAAATATTGGAGACTTCGCCTGATCTGCTTCCATCCAGAAGACAGGCCTGTGAAGAGGAGATGAAAGTATGTAGCTGATATCCCCCTTCGGTTGTGTTCTGTAAAATTCTCACTCCAGGTTTTTTTCACTGTGATCACTAAGAAGCTCAGGGATTTCAATGAGAATCATTGGTTATTTGTTAAAAATGAAATTTTAGCATCTTAGAGCCAATGAGAAAAAGTGATATAAGTAGAGGACTTGAGAATTTATTGTAGTACTTGGAATGTATCTGTCTGGGAGTAGGACTATATCCTCCTCCTCCTCTCAAAAGGGGAAGGAAATAAAATATATTAAGAAAAAAATCCTCCCAGGTGAATACATGTGAATTTTTGCTTGCCTCCAGTGAATGGTTTGTAAGGGGCATTTCAGATGTGGTATTTCCTAGAAAATATTGTCATTTACATTACTGTCAACATTACCTGAGATACAAAATAAAAGCATTGAATTCTAAACATATATTGAATTCCAAACATTGATGTAATTCAGAAACTATGCACATTTTTTCTCCAGTGTCTATCTCCTTGCAAAAATTAGTACAAACATAGTGCAATTGTTTAGAACCCACTTTATTATAATTTATTCAAGTAATTCTGATTCTTACAGCTGTATTGCTACTGCTGTAAGAGTGTAATTCAATTGCATTTTATTTAAATTACATGTCTGCATGCACTGTAATAGCCTAAAAATATATTGAATTACTTTTTATTCACATTCCAGTCAGTTTCCGCTGATTTTGAGAGATAGCTTTCTTACCTTCTTCTTGGATGCAAATTCCAGGAGAGTTAGGGTAGGTAGTACAAATTCTGACCCTACTATAAATTCTGCCCCCATGCTATATATTTCAATTCAATCAGAAGTACAAGCTGACTTTTTCAGCCTAATTATGCAAGTGTTTGATCCCTTATGAATGGGCAGTATATGCATCTTCCTCTTGATTGGCATAGATCTCAAAAAGATTAATATCAAACCATTGGTAAGGGGGTGGATTTTGAGCTTAAGGGTGCCAGAATTTGTATCACCTACCCCAGAATGATTCCCTTTTTTGAAATTATTGAAACATAGAAACCAAGTTATCTTGTCCTTTAGCTTTGGTTTCTTCAGCCACTGACATGCTCTCTGCTGGTTGAGTAAGCCCCATTGTCTATTGTGTGACCTTTCATACTGTCGTGTTCCAACTGTTTCAGCAGACTTGCAGTGATGCTATCCTCTTTTTTTTTTTGCAAAAATGTCATAACTTCATCCTGCCAGCATGCTTTGATATGTTTTTTTCACCTGCTATTACAGATTCCATGCTTTGCAGGAAGGTGTTTCACGAATCTTTCCATATTTTTTTACTCAAGGTCTTCTTGACACTTCAGATTGCTTTTAATCTCCTATTCTCAAGCAGAGCACTGAGCATCTCATTTCTTCTTCTGAGATCTGGTCTCAAACCCTTTTCCAAGAATCTACCCAATTCATTCATTCATTGGATGAATTCAAATGTGACTTCCCAAACACTGCACGTCAACATAGTTATCATATTTACTTGTTAAACATGCTTGGTAAGTAGGAAATGCTGCAGTATAGCATTTAAAAAAAATTGTTCATTGCAATCAATTGGCCTCAGCAATCACTGTCACATAAAATAAAGTAAGCCACAGTGCTGATGCCATTGTTGCAGCAACGCCCTTTTGATGCCCATGTTTATTCAAGACACCATTGCCATCTGTGGTGAGGCTTATGCTTTTTCCTTTCAGAATTCATGGGGAAAAGCATGTAAATTTAATACTTCTCTGTTGGTTTTTCATGTTTTGGCCAACATTATTTTTGCATTAAAGTTACAAAAGATTTTTTTCCACGGGAGGACTCATGCCCATGAGAGAGCTTCAACACTTGTACTTTTTCTTTATATTGATACATGATATGAATAAACTTGTATGAAGAGGAAATTGGTCATCTGCTTTCGTTTGCCGCCTCTTCATCCCATTTTCTCATATGCGGTAAAATTACCGGGTGGCGCCCGACCTCGTTCCACCCTGCCGGTCGCGGAAATCACGTTTCGACTTGAATCCACCGCGACTCCCACGAAGCCATTCGCTTCCCTTTGATGATCTTGAGGATGCTGCCTTCCGGATTGGCCTTGGTTGCATTCACTGCTCACTGCACGGAATGATGCGGCTTCCTGTTTGAAGATGAGTGCGTCTCGCTTTTTCTCCTTTGCCATTTCCCGGACTGGGAGCTGCAGAAAATCCTGCTTCCTCCAAGCGGGAAATTCGTAGGAAATTTCAGAAAAGCCCAGAATCATGCTCGTTATCGGTAGTCGAAGGTATTAAAATAATTTAAATATTTAATCCTCTAATTTTACCTGCATTTACTGCTTCCACCTAGGCTCAACCTGGATCCCATGGCTCACGATCCAGGATAAAAGACCAAAATTAAATATTTTTATTTATAATTTTTAAATTTATTTTACCGGTCTCCGCCATCGACCCGCACCTCCCCAAGGGATCTCGGCAGAATGGTCCGTGAGAGGCTCAATGACCCAATTAGGAAAGTGGACTCGGTCGATTTTCTATTTTCCGCTCCGAAGCGAAGGACAGACCCGAATAGGACGAAGAGCAATTACTGCGGGAAGAAGCTGAAGCGTCTCCTTCCGGCGCCGAGACCTCATTTCCTCCTCACAATCGACGGGATCTGAGCCCGCCTCCGGCGCGGTCTCATCACGAGATGAGGATCATTTCCCGTTTCTAGAAGCACGACCGCAAAAATTATCATCGTGCTTATAATCGGTGATGGGCGGAATCGCGATCGACGTAACTCTCATCCGGCACGCACTGCACATGTCTCCATTCCATCTGCATGAGATAGCAGGCGAGCCCCATGTTTCCACGGGCTCAGGTTTGCCGGGAAGCAAGAGTGCGGTTTTATAACAGCAGCGCCAAATGATGAGCAAAACGATAAATTATGCATTTATTCTATGAGGGCGATGAATTTCAAATGAATTTCAAACTCTACACAGTGAACTGCGAAGAAAATCTTTTTTATTCTTATAGAGGAGTGATTTATCTATCTTTCAAGGTCTTCAATGAGGGTAAGTCTTGCTCTTGAGATGCTTATGGGGCTTGTGATACCAACGGCGAGAGAAGTTCTTCCTCGCGGTCGGTCGGACCGCCGCGTGCCCATGGGTGTGGTAGCCGCTGACCGGTCGGAAGCCGCTGTACGATTGGTAACCGCTGACTGGTCGGAAGCCGCTGTACGATTGGTAACCGCTGACCGGTCGGAAGCCGCTGTACGATTGGTAGCCGCTGAGCGGTTGGAAGCCCCTGAGCGGCTGGAAACCGCTCGTCCGATGGTATCGATTGTGCTGGACGCGATTGAAATGCCCTTGGCTGCCTTCGAAGAACAGTAATCCCATGGTGATCGCCGCCATCGGGATCGAAAAACCCTGGAAAAGAATGACGGTTGGAGTGGTCACCTCTCTCTCAATCAGCGATGCTGAGAGCCCCCCCCCCCCCCAAAAAAAAAAAAANTGTATGAAACAATGGCATGAATGGCGACCAGGCTTCCCCCCCCCCCCCCAAAAAAAAAAAAACTAGAATTTCATATTTATTTTTATTGCTTCTCCCTCTTAATTCGTCAGGTGAGTTTCACCTGAAACCCCAGAAAGACTCTTCGTCTAGAATCTGATTTGAAGTCCACTGCGATGAGTCGGTAACGATAAAAAAAAAGCAAAGACCTGCATAAAAGATGGCATGTGAAAAGATGGCATCGACTGAATTGCGCCTTGATGAATGTTCATGAATTCCAGAAGAATCAGTTCTTTTACCCGCGAATTTTCGCGAAGAGCAAAGAACCTTGCTACACTCGCTGCAAGTACATCTGATGGTCATTGATGCATCGTATACTTGCGCTTGCTGCTTTCAATCAAAGCGGCGAAAGTTGATGCATTCTTAAAAATTGATGTGTTAGATCATTGGAAAAAAAAAACGGAGTTTGCAGCATGAAATTTAGATTCATCATCTCTAGAAGATCCCCATAACAATTTTTAATTCCCTGTCAATTTCAAAGAATTTCTGGACCTTCTCATCGTTAGTTCACGTGACTTCCCGTTAGGTCACGTGACTTCCAGCATTAGGATAACCATTCACAATGCATCGTCTTCGAAGCCCTATGTTCAGTTTCCCCTCAAGAAAAAAAGCAGCCAATCTGAGTTTTTTGTGAGTTTTTTTCGCTTTCTGCGAAAATTCGCTCCAGGAATTCTTCCTTCATACAGCAAAATTGTTAGCACAGCTGCAACGACCATTTCGGCAGAAAAAAATCGCGAAAAAGTCCCCCCATGAAAAAAAAAGTGCTCCAAGGAGTGAACCCAAACAGGACTTCTTAAATCAGCACCCTTACAACTACTTGCGTACCAAATTTCAGCTTTCTCTCATATCCGCTACAAACTTAGACTTAGCGACAGTCATTCACTCACGCACATTCAAGATCATCTATAAATAAATATCTATAAACACTAAGTTTTCAGTAATGGCTCAAGTATCGAAATCCGGAACATTTTTGCGAACGGAAAACTTTTTCGAGGGCCAGGAGAAGTTAGAAATTTGCTATTTAATTTTCTTTTCTTTTTATTTTTTTTCCGGAAATTAAAAAATTGATAACATAATATTTAAAAAATATCACCACTTAGGTAAATCCTGCCGCAATTAAGCGTTGCCCTTGGGAACTAGAGATTTTAAAATACATATCACTTGCCTTTAAAAAAAAAAATTTCTTTCCTCCTTAGTCTGAATAATGAAAACGGAAACTTCCACATTTTTGTTGAATGTAATAAACCGCAAAAAAAAAAATCTCCGCGAACCCGTCTGCCTCAATGGCAGGTCAAGAACTCATTTCAACTTTTCGAATCAGAAATTTAAATAATTGAAAATCAGTCCCACTAAATATTATCAACTTGCAATCATCCTCGCAGAAATTCTTGCCAATCTGATCATTTCTTGCCAAAGCTCGTCCGTGAGAATTTCGCATTCCGGTGGGAAAATGCTTTCAACGCGAAGAGAAAAATTCAACGTTCGAATCGCCTGTCATGGGAAAGCCCTCACGTTCCGCATCCGCATGCATCTCATTAACATTTTAATGGCTTGTCCCTTCTCGGATGCCCTTCGAGGCTAGTACACGAAGACCAACATCAAAAGCTTTCATCTAAATTGAGGCTTTAACCGTCATGAATTATGGAAGAGTTCCGAGCGAGCACTCATCGTGCTCCGAGGAGAGATTCAGTGCGGATCCTTTTCCAAGGGACTCTCAGACAAAACGAGAAATTTACTTGAAAATTTTTTCTCTCCTTTTTAGGCGTCCTATTCGATGATACGGTGAAGCACTCACGCTGTGACGCTTCATGATGCACGGCCGAACGTGGGAAGGACGACCCGCCCGCCTCGGATGCCTCCTGCCGACTGGTCACGCTCCTCTGGGCTGATGCCCCTCTCGCGGCGGGGGCCCTCCGCGGCCACGGCCAAGGCCACACCCGCAGGATCGTGAAAGCGACGGAAGGAGCGCCGCGTGAGATATGAGGAGGGGAGAGAGGAGGCGCGTCTGCCTCCCGCTTTCTTCCGGCATCAGAATAAACCCGTACGTTCACCCGAACTTTTCTCTCCGCAATATTCTTAAAGCGAATCGACGACAGGGATTTCGACTCTTGCAAATCGTCGGGAAGAAATTGCTGGCGAGAGATGCCGCGTAGCACGGAGCGAGCCTGCATAATTTATCCTCGTTTTCTCCTAAATCATGTGAAGTTTAATTCGGCAGGCGAAGGGGAGAATCGGTAATTAGGCCACGAAGGAGCTGGGAAGGCAAGTGCAGGATTTTTAAGATAAAATAATTATACCTTAAAATGCGAGACACGTCTCACGCAGTGATCTAATGGAGCCAGGCATCGAAACGATGATTCATTCAACCTGACAAAGTATTCCATGGAATCATTACATGGACTTTCCTATGATAGGGCAACTTTCGGCACCCTTCCCGAGTCTGGTTCCACTTTCATGCACGAAAGAAGAAAAATGGAATTAGCGTTCCCTCCATCAATTCCCACGGAAAATCCCCTTCTTGCTCGAAGACAGCCTCGGCAAATCGATAGCAATCTATCTCCGTCGTCGCCTCGAACGCTCGGCAGAACGAAACGAAGGCGGCGAAGCGAAGCGAAAAGCGAAGCGAAAAGCGAAGCGAAAAGCGAAGCGAAAAGCGAAGCGAAAAGCGAAGGAGAGAAGCCGGGGCCGAATGGGATCGAAGATCTCTCGGGAGGCTGAATTCCCTCATCTCGACTCGATCAGTGCGGTAAAATGAGGCGATTTCGTCCCTCGTCGAGCGAAAAACACGATCGCATCACCATCTGCGATGGATAATTTTAAAAATAATATGCATATACTTTAAAACGTGAGACATGTCTCACGCAGTGACATAACGGAACCAGTCATCGAAACGATAATTCATTCAAGCTGACAGAGTAAGTATTGCAGGGAGTCACCAGCGCAACTCCAACGCAAGAAACGGTTCAGAAGGTATATAGTGAGTTGATGAGTAATCCTCAAATAATGCGTGCATATTGCAATATCAACAGTTTCAAATAATTGAATTTTCATAGTCATAATGTTTTATAGTCATGAACTATGTGGATCTTCTATCCCCACACTCGTTGCCGTATCAGTCGTCCACTCTGCGGAACAGTTTCCCTCCGACTGTGCGCTCTTTCGCGTCCAGGCGGAATAGGGCAACTTTCGGCATGCTTCCAGAGTCTGGTTCCACTTTCGTGCATGAAAAAAAAAATTTTTGAATTTGCGTCCCTCGATCGATTCTCTTCTTGCTCGAAGACGGCCTTCGCCTAATATTTCGCCCGATGCGAAATAATACTTACTGATTCCTGTGCGAATCGTTTCCATAACCCACAGGAGCCTTCGTAGCAAGTCCGTGTGGGAGCTGTGGGAATTGCAATGCAAATCCCGGCGTCGTCACCACAATATCGTCTTTTCACACACACAGCAAAGCAGAAACGTATCGAGGTGCATATTTTGTACGTTATGAGGTCGAAACGTACATCGTAGAAAACGTTCGTTGAAAGGTTACCGAAACTAAATAGGGTTCTAAAATGTCTACCTTTCTTATCTCTATTCACAAATTACGGATTTGTAGAGAATCATTTGCGGAGGATCCCATGAGTCCATCCCATCTCGGACTTGAAAAACCCGCTCGCGAGCATCAATTTTGAGCCTCGGAAGGGAACTTTAACGTCGCCATCCCACGGCCCCTCATCTCGGACAGTCGGCGAACTGTCACGGATAAATGACAGCTCCTCTTCCACGACCGAATCGGACGTGCCGGCTGTCTCTTACCGGTTACCGTGGAGACATCAAGTCCCCACTATTATTTAATGGACCGACTTTGAAGCGTATCGAAAGGTGACCGCTCGTTCACCCAAGGTTAAAAGTAAATCACGACCGGTCAGTTAACACTTCTCTGGACTCGTGCAAAACCTCAGCATGAAAAAAATGTCCGAAAAGTTGATTGTCATTGAAACACGATAATGATACTTTCACCAAATACCACTTTACGCGTATCAAAATGAAAAGAAGTGAACTGCGTAATTCTTCCTATTCTTATTCCTATTCTTATTCCTATTCTTATTCCTATTCTTAATAATTGAATTTTCATAGTCATAATGTTTTGTATTGATGAACTATGTGGATTTTCTATCCCCACGCTCGTTGCCGTATCAGTCGTCCACTCTGCGGAACAGTTTCCCAGATTAGGGCAACTTTCGGCATGCTTCCAGAGTCTGGTTCCACTTTCGTGCATGAAAAAAGACATTTGGAATTTGCGTCCCTCGATCGATTCTCTTCTTGCTCGAAGACGGCCTCTGGAAAACGATGGGAATCGTTCTCCGTCGTCGCTTCGAATGCCCCACAAGACGAAACGAGGGTCGCAGGCGGCGAAGCGAACCGAAAAGCGAAAGCGGGAATGCGAGACGTCCGAGTCCTCATCTCGACTCGATCGGCGTGGTGAAATGAGGCGATCAGGCGCCTCGTCGAGGGAAACGGTCGCATCACCGGAATGTCTGCCGGTTTCACCGAGTCTCCGTTGAACGGGAGGAAAGCAACGCGTCGTACTCGCATCTGCGATGGATGCTTCCCGAGAGAGAAGTCCAGTTTTCATCGGATCATCCAGCTTGCAGATCCCAAAGCCGATCGTCCCGTTTGCATGGAGTCGACCTGGAAGCCCGTATCGATTTGTGTCGGACGGAGCCATCGTGCAGTTCCGCCCCAGCAAAGCCTCGTGTTTGCAAAATGTCCCAAGCTCCGACGCCCGAGAACGACGAACTCCACACGAAGAAAAAGCGACGAAAAGGAGCAGCGAAAAAATCTCAATTTATTAAAGAATGAATTCCCTTCTCCTCCTCCCCCGCCACCTTCAATGCGGGTAATTCTTGCTCTTCAAGTGCTTGTGCGACCTGTGATTCAACCGCCGAATGAAATGTCTCTTCCCCGTCTGCCTCAAAGATTTCCCGTGGGTCTGGTAACCGCTCGTCTGACGGTACTGGAGACGATTGCCATGCCTCTGGCTCTCTCCGAAGTCCACCAGACCCCAGGTCATCGCCGCCAACAGTATCCAAAATTTCCACTGGAAAAGAATTCAAGCGGTTAAGCTAATAGTTGGATCGAAATAAAAAAAGCAAATAATGCTGGGAACTCTAACGGCACCATCATACGCCCTCTCATCTCCGACAGCCGGCGAACTGTCACGGATAAGTGACAGTGACAGCTCGTCTCCACGACGCAATGGGACCTGCCGGCTGTCTCATTAACGCCGTCTTCTCCAGTTACCACGGAGACATTATGTGGCAAGTCCACACTATTTTTAAGGACAACCCCACACTTTGAAAGTAACTCCTAACCTGTCAGTTGACACTTCTCTGTTCTCGTGGAAAATCTAAGCATTAAAATTTCTTTAAAAGCACGGATTGCCATTAAAACATGATATTTATGCTTTTACCAAATACCACTTTACCAATATCAAAACGAGAATAATACAGGTAAAGGAAGAAAAATTCTCCTTCGTTCCAACCGCATCCTCACTCGAGTTGGAGCGTCCGGGGGAACACAACCGCCATCTTTTGGCCATTTCCAGTACCGTGTTGCGAACCCGGATGACGCAAATATGTCCGTCTCGCATTTGCGCCTCTCTGTGCAATAATATATATATATTTTTTAATCTCGGTAAAGATATGTTTAAAAAAAAAAAGTACCGATGAAGCTGGCACGAGAGAAATCTTTTCTATAATTAATCCTGATCTTTAAGAAGTTCATTCGCGTGTTCAGTATATATATTTTTTGTTTTCCTTTTCGTCTGCTGGCGCTTGCCTTTTCAATTCCGGCGTCTTTTTAATTTAAATGTGATTTTGAGTAAATAAAAGCAGCACAAGCGACATGGAAGAAAGCGAACCATTTCGTGCCATGAAATGGTTTCTTGAAACGGTCTAGAGAATCCGAGTTTGAAACGATTTCAAACGCTTCCAACTTCGAAAGGAACAAAAAAAAAGGAGGAAAAATTCCTCTCGCGTTCCTCATCTCATTAGCATTTTATTAGGTTGTTCCCTCACGTCAAAGCCCGAATATCGCTGCTGAAATATTTCATCATTAAAGCTTTAATCTAGATCGAAGCTAAAACCGTCGCCATTGCGGGACCGAGGGAGGCCCCCGTCGAAGGCGAGGTGAATGGGAGGCTTTAATGGAGGTTCCGTCCCTCGGGAGGCAGAGAAAGAGAAAAAATCTTCCAAAACTTTTTCTCCAATTTTTCCGCCCTCGCCAGAACACCCACAGTAAAAGGAGCACTCGCCAGAAAAGGAGCACTCGCAAGAAAAGGAGCACTCGCCAGAAAAGGAGCACTCACGCTGCCGAGCTTCATGCTGCGATCCCTCGTCCGCGTCTGCCCCTCGCGGACGCTCCTCGCCGCGTGCTGACCGGGCTCCTCAAGGCTCCTCAAGGCTCATTCCTCACGACCAAGGCCGAAATCCATCCCGCAGGATCGAGAAAGGAGGGAGCGCCGCGTGAGAAATGAGGACGCGGGAGGCGCGTCTGCCTCCCGCTTTCTTCCGGCATCAGAATAAACCAAACCGAATCCATTTCCTGGAATTCCAACTCCTACAAATCGACGAAAAGGAAGTCCCTTTTCTCGAGCACGTGACCAAACCGCGTAATTCCTCCTCATTTCAGCCGATAATCCGGCGGAATCGGAAAGGCTGGATCCGACAGCTGAAGCGACCCGAAGGAGCTGCGAAGGCCGATCGTAGAGCCATTTTTAAATATTTAATGTGTAAAAATGCGATTCTTATCTTAGGCGACAATAAAAATGGATGCGCGCTCAGAAGTGGCTCGCTGTCTAAACTGGCACGAAGCAGAATATCGCCCCCCCCCCTCGCCCCCCCACTCTCAAGAGCATGATGACGGCGGAACGGAAGACCTCATCGGTAAGTGAATGAGCAACGAAAGCTGCTGGCTTCTAGGAATCCTAAAAACAGCACAGCAGAATTTCTCTCTCCCTCTCCTCCTCTCTCTCTCCCTCTCCTCCTCTCTCTCTCCCTCTCCTCCTCTCTCTCTCTCCCTCTCCTCCTCTCTCTCGGTTTCGATACTTTCGCGTTCCAGCCGGGTCGGCAAAACGGATTCTATCGTGCGAACCGCCTCGTTCGGAAGGACGAAATCGATATCGTTCGTCGAGGGAAAAGGGAAGGGAACGTTCCCGTTTCTCTCGACCGCCAAAGATGTTCCCGTTCGCGAACGTTTCCGGCCGAGACGCCTCGAGGAGACGGGCCCACGTTTTCGATGAGTCGGGTTTACGACCCGCATGCCGTCATGCATGACGGCACGCATGACGGCATCGACGATATTGCGTTTGAGGCGCAAGCCGGAGATGCCTCTCGAAAGGAACATCCAGTCCTTTACGTAATGGCATCATTCAATCGTAATGGCATCAGAGGCATTCTATTACGACGGATTGGAAGCTT